ACAGTATACAAGGCTTGTGCGTGTGACGGCATTGACATACGAAGTGAGGCTGGCAGTCAACTCATTTAGATCAGATCTCGCGTAACTCTACGAAACAAACGCTGATGTAAGGGAATACCGCTGCTCTATGTAGACTATTGGTACCGTTTTTTATTTCGTGTTGAGTGCGCAGCCCGCAGAATCTCCCACCTGCTGTGGAAGCACAAGGCGCGCGCTGATCGTTGCCGCGATAGCGCAGTAACCAGAGGCACCCCCTCCCCCTCTTTGTTCGCTGACGAAATAAGTCCGCGCGCGCGCATGAGCCCGACCGGAATGGCGATGTTCACTCTGCAGAAAGAGGAGGAAAGCACATCCTTCCCCATATATATATATATATATATATATATATATATATATATATATATATATATATATATATATATATATATATATATATATATATATATATATAATGTGCGTGAATGACGGCGGAGGCGACGGCAAAAACCAGTCGAGACGGCCCATTCATTGCTATCGCAATAAAAAGCCAAACGTGATGAAAGTAGCCAGCGTTCCCGAGTGCAATATAGGATCAATGACATATAATTAGGACCGCCAGGTTGTGTGGCTGCTCATCGCGTTCCAAATTGAATACGACAGCTGCGACTTTTCAGGCACACGCGTTCCACTACTCGGTCTCGTCACTGTCCTTCTGATAAGATAAACTCTAGACAAATACAGCGTTTGAACCACCGGATCTACCTTCCTCCAAATCCCTCTCTTTCGTACTCCCAACGAATCCTACGGAGACGTCCCCAGACTCGCACTCTTTCTTCCCCTCGGCTGCTGTCCCACTACTCTGGCACTCCCCGGAATGTTCCCTCTGCGGCGAACCTCATGCCACCACGAGGTTCCCTCTACGGCGAACCTCATGCCGAATAGGATGCCCTGTTCAGCAGGGCATCCTATTCGGCTGCCCTGCTGAACCTCTCCCGCAGGGACAGCCTGCCATCTGAAGCTGGGAGGACTAGGAGGTCCTGCTCTCGTCTGGGTACCGGGCGACGCAGCTTGCTGTGGTGACCAGGGCAGCCGATGTCATCGCGGCGAGAGCCATGACCGTGTAGGCGTGGTGCGAGACCGCGCGGTGGTCCAGGGATCCCGGGGCGCGGGGTGTCCAACACACTTGCTATAATGAAGTTTTTCTGTCTGTCTCGACGCAGACTGTCTACAATGCCGGCCCAGAACACAGGCGTTTCGAAATGTCCTCGAGGGGACGCGTCGTGCGCAGCCGCGCGTCGCGGAGTCACGCCCGAATGCCAGTGAGGGCCAAGGGCGGGAAAGGTTCGCGGTGAAAGGTATAACAGGACGGCAAAGACGGCACGTGTTGTGTCTTTTCCCTTCTGCCAGTCTTTCAATGGTTACCACGAGAAACTTACGAGCTCAGGCCAACGCATCATCCGCAAGTTACTAATACGTAACATACACCACGACTCGTTGTCCGCTCCTGCGCTATTCGTCGAAGGTGGATTACTAACTATAGCCCCGGAATCAAACCTTGCTAATTACAACGCTTAGCGGCACTCACCGCAACGTCAATTTTCCGTGCACGGGTCTAATTTGTCGGAAGTACCCACCACTTCAAACCACAAACTGCAGCAAAATACGAAATGAAGTGCTTATACGTGTCAGGATTCAAACTTCAGCTGCAGTCCACGTTATCAAAGCACGAGTGCACCAAGGCGTTCAGCAAACAGGCGTCGTAAAAATAAAACGATTGCGTAGCTTTGCTGCGCACTTGGTGTAATCTATGACATCACGCACTACAGAAGCTTTTATACAACGCTTTCCGTGAAGGCTAAGTTTAGTACGGCTGTTACAAGTGTAACGTCTTCAAGACGTCATCATCATCAGCCTGACTACATCCACTGCAGGACAAAGGCCTCTCCCATGTTCCGCCAGTTAACCCGGTCCTGTGCTTGTTGCTGCCAATTTATACCCGCAAACTTCTTAATCTCATCTGCCCACCTAACCTTTTGTCTCCCCCTTAACCCGCTTGCCTTGCCTGGGAATCCAGTTAGTTACCCTTAATGACCAGCGGTTATCCTGTCTACGCGCTACATGCCCGGCCCATGTCCATTTCCACTTCTTGATTTCAACTATCTTGACGTATCTTGCTCGAGAAAGCGAAGGGACGACTCGGGTACACAGTAAACCGGTTAGCACTCGTAAGGGTGATTTTCCGCGTCTATGACTGACACCCTAAGATAAGGGTGTTAACTATAGACACGGCAAGACACACCTAATGGTGCAAACTGGTTTCCCTCTTCACGGAGTGTTAGTTGCGGGCTTCCATTTAAGCTTAAAATATTTCACCACAGCTCGGCTGAACGATACAAACCTTGCTCGATTTAGCTACGAACGCTCTATTCATGGCCACAGCTGCTCCTGTAGAGCCGCGCCACGCGATCGCCGTCTCAAAACAAACAAAAACGAGGCAAAGTTTGCCACTCGTCCGCTGCTAATCGCGCCCTGCAAATATCCCAAATGTCCGCGAACAAGGAAAAATATAAAAATAGAAAAGCCCACGTGCGAAGTCTCGTAATACGTCACGTCTGTCACTGTCACTAACGAAACATGACAGCCTGTCCCCCGTTTTCCTGCCATCGTTTTTGCCCGGAATGCGGCGTGTCACACGACTGAATCCGCTCGGTTCAGTTCCAGCGCTAACCCAATGTTAGAATCGGAAACAGAAATAAAAAAAAAAGCCTGCATGGCAGAAACATTTAGGCGCATACGATGCAAATTGATAGCTCTTCAGCACGCCCACAATTGCATTCACCTTCAAGGAACTCCCCCCCAGTCGTTCCTCACATTTAGGTGTGTTACGTCGTATAAAAGAACCTATGAGTCAATCCTTATTCATAGACATTATGAAGTGTAATTTAACTGAAAACACCCTTACTAAACCCGTTAGAATTTCGGGAAGCATTACCCCACCCCAAGTCCCACACCGCGATGCAACCCGCATTTGCAACCCCCCCCCCCCCCCCAAGACAACATCCTACCTACGCCTATGGTACGAGGGGCACATATTTCGAGGAGTACTCGCTAAGGAGATTCATTTTGAAATTTGCCCTAAAAATGATGTATGCGTTGCAAGATCATTTCTGCGAAACTCTGCCTTGTGGCAATGCTCAAGCTGATCGCGAACTGCCACTAAGTTGGCTGTCACTTTCGTGTTAAGCGTAATTTGATTTCTGTTCCCGCGAAAAGTGCAGTGCTGCTGGCAACGTGGCCGCTTAGATGCCAACGCAGTTATGTTCAATCAACTGGCATGCTCATCGTGTACAAACGTACAGATTTACACAGAGATATCGCGACAAAGAGCCGATTTCATCGCACGATAGTTGCCCGAATTGACAGACAGCTTCCTCACCAGCTAAGGAGTACACTCATCAACGACTATGAAATCGAATTCTCATCGCTGCCTTGAGGGTACCACGTTGTAATTTACACCGTTGAAACTCTTGCTGATGCTGACGGTGTAATGCTGCGAATTTCACTCTCGGCACCCCCTCTAGTCGTTGCAATACACCGATTTTGAGCGAAGCGGCTTGTGGATGCACAGAATACCCCTTTATGAATGAAAAAACATGTTGGAGTCAGACTCCAACATGACAGCCACAACTGTCAGACTGCCGTCGAGAGTGGTTTCAGACGCAGGATACTCAGCAAAAGTCTCAAAATGACCAACCACTTCTCGTAAGAAAACAACAGACAACTTTCTCTAAGCACGGGACGCACTTGAATTCAAGAATGCATGCATCAAGCAGCATTTGTGAGCACACATATGACTCGATTAACCTAATCAAACACGGGTACGACGACACGTGCTAACTTTCCGAACGTGCATTTGTATGCCTCGGAATCGGCAAGCTTGCCATGAAGCAATGATAGCTATGGATGATGCCATATTACTCAATTTACATCTAAAAAGAAGACGTACCGCTCTACTTGCACAGCTTAACTATCTCCGACTGTAAACGGTGAACTGCGCCCTAATAATCTTCAGGATATAAACCACGAACTTTGCTTTTTCAGCGTAGAACAACAGTGTACTTACGAACCAACAAAGAATTCCGAACTGTCGGAACAGTGACTGTTGCTTAGTTTCAGTGCGGCTTTTTTTTTTTTTTCTGAGAAGACATTCATACCTGAATTACGCATATATCAAACGCACGTGCCACTTGTACAGATTCAAAAACGTATATTTGAAACACCCACAGAAACTTATACAAGAAGGAACAATGTACGAACATTATTTCGCTCGAACAGTTTCTTGCGCGTTGTAGTGTAGTGTAGTTGTATAACTGAATACGACATAAGGGCCCCCTTCACAACTCCTCTGCAAGTTATGGGGCCCAGCCTTTATAACAAAACTGTACATATCTCCTTGTGTATAATAAATGAATTGAATTGGATTAAGGACACAGCAGCATGACACGACGTATAACGGGAACGTTTCGTTTCCCTTAGACGTCGGGTTATGCTGCTGTGAAAAAGCTGTGAAAACGAGAACAGTAAGAAAAAAAAGAACGCTATAGAAGAAAGAAACTGCCAGAAGCACAGGGCAAGAGTGTTCTGACAGTAAGCTATCCTTCAAACTTCCAGGGGATGCGACAGCGGATGAACGACCCGACAGCTACATATATACTAGGATCGGCGTCCATCAATTGACACCGCGTGCTGGTCCGACTACGAAAAGAGATATTACAGGATTCGCTTGAACCGGCTCGGTTCTGAAAAGAAGGCTCCGCTCGGACGATACGTGAGGCTACCAACAGACCGGGCTCCGGAATCAGAAAGCAACCACTCGAAAGCTGGGACACGATATCACACAAGAGCCCACAGTACAGCGCACATCTCGGGAAATCGGCGAGATCTCAAAAACACGTTTGTTATCGAGTGTTCTCGCTTGATGTGGTGCTTCTATGCGAAGCAGCGAAAGAAACAACACTTACACGGGTAGGTGCGGTCGTTTTACCGGCGTATCCAAACGCTGTAGGTACGACGTAGCTGCGACGGTGGCCGCGCGATGTTCGACGTCCCATGGCGTGTCGCTAGCGCTTTCCGTAGCCCGAAATGCCGAGTCGCGGCATACGCCAAAACACACACACACAGGCACACTGTCACGATTCACGAGGCGTTCGCAGCGGCTTTCTCGACGCAGGGCGGCACGCGAACATCGCAGCTGTTCGTCGCAGAACACCTCGCAGCTTGCAGCTTGGAGACACGGGCGGCGGAAGTGTGAATGGAAAAGTAAGAAAAAGAACAAAACATTCGTGCTGCTCGTGGATGCAAGAAGTTGTAGTATGTCAGCTGAACAATGTGGATACTCTGGTTCCGGTTTCGGAAGAAGCCCGAGTAATATCTTGTTTACATAGTCAACGGCTCTTCTACGATGCGTAGACTTAATTGGTTGCAAATTTTCATCGCTCTTGCTTGAGGCAACGCTGCTGCATAGGTCATGTCAGTATCCCTTCATTAACACGTTCATTTCTTCCCATGTGGCTAGGAGTGGTACCACCGACACACGCAAGTCCATCCAGCAGCGCCGCTTCCTGGATCGTCGCCATGACAACCGACTCGACGGAAGTTGACATGGGAAGTGACGTCTCGGATGCCAGCGTGTCTTGAAGAATAGCAATGGCGGACAGCGGCGGGGATCGTGGCGGTGTTGTATCTTCCAACGTCGGTCCTGCCGAAACTTCGACGTCCGGCGACGGCCAAGATCCGAAGAAATCGGACATGGGAGACGTGAGTGATTCCGGTCCCTATCGTTGCCCGAATATTCACTTCCCGCTGACCGCCGCGCAGGTTCACGGATTCCACGATCCTCATTTTTTTCCCCCTCTGTAGTAGTTGTCAACGTCGTTCCAATTCTAGGCGTTCGAATCAGTGTTGCTTTTCCAAGGCGACTATTATCGCGAGTGTTTATTTTTTTTTTACAGTGATGCCTCGTTGATTCTTGAAAGCTCATACCCCAGTCGGGAGTCGTTACATGTAGACGATCGTTCTCTTTTGCACTCCCCGCTCGTTGCACCATTCTCGGCTTGCGCCTGTACACACCTCCTTTAAGTTGCGTGTGCAACCGTCCCCGCGAGTCGGTTTCTTCGCTTCATTACTTTTCCCAGACGCAGTTGTGAGCCTCCGATCAGCACTTAATGGCTCTTACCTTTCGTTTTGTTCGTTTTGTTTAGCATGTGTGCTACGGCACTCCTCCGTTTCAACCCCGCTAGCGATCGCGCTTCTTGTCTGCGCCGGTACGCGAGACACGCTGCACGATTTGGCAGTCGTGTCGACTGCGTATTTATTTTATAGCGTAGTGTGTGCCTGGTAGCTCGCGTCAAACCGTAACTTGATGCCACATCAGCCCCCTAGAACGTACGTGCAGGGAGGATAAATAGGTCGCTGTTTTGGGGCGTGGGGCGAAAAGCGAAACTAAAAGACGTAGGTGGTACGTGGACGCAAATGCGAGATTTCTTCAGCCACGCTGCGCATAGTCGAAACAGCGCGCGTTTTGAGGCGCCTGACATCTTAAAGTATAATTCAACTCCGAACTTTTAAACGTGTCCCGCTGTTTCTTTTTTCATTTTTACCACCGAGAACAGCTGCGCGACCTTTTTATTTGCGTACACAGGTATGTCGCGATAACTATTTCTTGTTCTATTTTCTTGAGGTTGTGTACTTTCGCTTTTGTAGAATGGGGAGCGGGTTGAAAAGCGGCTAACGAGAATGGTGGCACGGCATTGAAGCAGCCGTTTTTTTTTCTTTTGTTGCGCTTGATTTACACAGGCCTATGAGGATAGCAGAAAAAAGCGCCGTCCAAACACGCGCCGAACACAAAAGGGTGGGCGTGTCTTACGCGTAATAACACGCTTACTTAATAGCCTTGTCCTTCAGCCTACCCGTATAAGAGACCTACAGCTCACGCGGTGCGTTATTCATACTTTACATTCATGCGCCAACCAGTCACGTCCTCCCATTTTCGTGACGTCGTGACGAAGGAGACGGAACTACTTTAAATATTGGCTTTCCAGTGGTGACTGATTGCGCAGGCGCAGGGGACAGGTGAAACGCTGTTGTGTGGGCGGAGCTTGAGCACGGTGTATCGGGTAGCAAACCGCGGTCGTGCGCATAGCAGCTCCATGCGTTAAGTTCTTGAAAAAATTAAAAAAAGTAAAGATAAACACGATCGCACAGCGGTACAAGCACTGCAGGGAATGCGATGGGAGCTAGTTGCTAGCACATATTTTTCAGTAGGTTTCTTCGTCAGGTGGTCGAAATTTCCGAAACCCTCCACTATGGCATCCCGCATAGTCATATTGTAGTTTTGAGATGTAAAGTCTCAGGAATTATTATTATATTTCATTATGGCATTGAACTGTTTTGTACACCTAGTCGTAACTTATGTACTCCAGCTTTTGTGTTATGCTAAGATGCAAACTCAATGGCTCCATATTTGACTCGTAATTTGTCGACATTTACGGAAGTTACGAATTCTGTAACATGGCTCCAAGCAAAATTTTAAGTTTGAAATATAAGATGGTAGCACCATCAAAAGTTTGCAGAGTAAACATTTCTGATACAAAGACTGAAAAAAAAAATAGAGATTGTTTGGTGCAAGTGATGCGTTACTTCAAATGTACATCTACTTGATAAATTCTCTAAGATCTGCTAATAGGGAACTACAAAGTTAGAGGCAGTGTGCCCGGAATCACATGGTGTTTACCTTGCATCGCATGTGCGTGTTCCCCCTAGGGGCTATTTAAAGGTTGCTAACGAGAAAATTGGACAACAACCAGTCCTTCAGTTTTACCAAGATCTAGTTAGCTGTATGTGAAACGTGAGGCTGTTGACTTGAGCCACTTGATACATAGAGCAACAGGGTACAGGACAGAATCAAAAAGAAAAAAAGAATAAATTTAGAGTGACACAAATTGTGTCCAACCTCAGTTTCTCGATTGCCAAGTGCCTCTGTGTATAATACATTTTAAATGTTTTCAAGCTTGACATTTGACTCTGACATTAAATGTAATTTGCCTTTCGCGTACCTTTCTGGTATCTGCTCTGAACGGCTGTTAAGAAATGTTTCCCAGCTGGGGGAAACCAGTTGCACTAGAGTTGCTTAAGTTACCAACGGGGTAAGAGTGTTGTGAGCCTCTGTGATTGCAAGTTTGCTGTTGCAAGCCCGGTGCACCTGCAGTCACAGAATTGTTAATAAGGTGTTTATGCATCGAACATAGCTCCTGTGCTAAGAGCAAACCAGGATGCTTGCTTCCCCCCTCCTATCCTCCCTTGTTTTCCGTGGACATGCCTGTAGACTTTTTTACGAACTTCGAAGTGCTTGGCAAGACTGGATTTCGATGGTGTCTGGCACGGTGGTAGAGTGATTATGGTGCCCAGCTACTTGAAGTTTCACGTCCGATTGCGGCCACAACAGCTGCATTTTGCTGGAGGTGGAACGCTACAGGCTTATGTGCTTTGTGATGTCAGTGTCCATAAAATATTGGGAGCCCTCCACCAAGGCATGCCTCACAATCCTGTCTCTAGGGATAATTATTATTAGAAGTTCAGTGGAAGACGAAGGCTCAAATTGATGACAAGTAGTCAAATAAGAAATGTTCTTGAAGCCAGCTGTGGAAGACTCTCTTTACTGTAAAATTGGCAGCATTGACATTCTTTGTTTGACTTTTCACCATGGGCAGTTATCATGTCTTCTCTATGGCATATAATTTACCGTAAGCATTATTCGTGATGGCTTAGTTTTTACATTTCTGAACTGTGATAATGTGTTTATGGTGTCCCATTCTTTTTTTCTTTTTCTTGCTTCTATCCCCGGCCTCAGGATCTGAGGGCAGGCAAGGCTGAGCGGAAAGCTTGCAATGACCCCGTGCAGGAGCTGCTCAACCTGGCGGCTGGCACCGTCAACCAGACGGAGACATCACACACGTGAGTCGCTGCTCCTATCACTTCTGCCTGGTTAGTGGCCTCTGTGGTTCTAATGGCTGAGTAACCGAACGATCGACCGGTCTAATTACTTCATGTTTGAATTTCAAAACACATTCGTGAATAATATGTAGGGATGTGTTTTGTTGCGACGCACCTGTTTACGTTGATGAAAGTACCAAAAGTATTGCCATTAGTCCTAGTCGAGTTTTTAAGACTGCTTTTTAGGTGCACTGCATAAAAATGTAGCTCTGTTGTTATATTCATAGTTTATGAAAAGGTTAGTTAATGCAGACATTGTGCAATTTTTCATACTTATAATAGTGTGTTGTCATTTGTTGTATGTTTTTGCAGAAAGCAGTGGCTCGGTGGTGGCGATGAGGCAGAAGCCCGAAAAGACTCCCACAAGCATGTTCCTGGCCCTCTTCAGGCACTGTGAGCATTCCTTATTCCTTTTGTCACTTGTTATTAATGGCTTACTATTACTTGTCAATTTGCAATAACCTGATTTGTTTTGGTCTTTTAAAGGGCCTGTAATCGCAACTTTTTTTTGCTTCTCCGAAAAAATCTTGCTCATTCATGCAGAAAGCCACGGAGATCACATTTTGCGAACTTTAACAGTGCTGCTCAGCACGCAGACAGACGCTCAGTTTTGAAAAACAATTACTGCACCCCTCTCCAGTGACTGACCAGATCTTATCTCCCACACAGTGATGCAATCTTGCCCATGGGCATTATACGTAGCACCAACTTTATCAAGTGGTCTTTCGCACAATGAAATAGTGCCTCGGGCCTTGCGGTGATGCAGCTTTAACTGCGCAGTCAGCGTTTTCATCTTCCTGTTCTGCCCTCTGATGGAGATGCGACTACTGGGACAAGCATTATCGTTGGACCAAAGGTTTCCGAGATCAAGAGGTGTCATGTGACATTACCGCCAGAGAAAGGGCGCATGCACCATGGCATGTTTGTTTATATCGACAGTGCCTTGCATGAACCTTCCTTACCGCATCGCTGTGCCACGAGTGACACTTTTAGAGAAAGCCCCATTCGGTGATTGGCAGCTCCTTTGCGGTGGTCTAGGGGCTAAGGTACTCGGCCGCTGACCCGCAGGTCGCATAGTCGAATCCCAGCTGCAGCAGCTGCATTTTCGATGCAGGTGAAAATGCTGTAGGCCTGTGTGCTCAGATTTGAATGCCCGTTAAGAACCCCAAGTGGTCAAAATTTCCGAAGCCCTCCACTACGGCGTCTCTCATAATCATGTGGGGGTTTTGGGATGTTAAACCCTACATATCAATCAATCAATTGCCGATGATTGGCAGCAGTCAACTTAATGCCTGACATCATGTTATGTTATTGAAGTGGTTCTAGTCAGCGTGAAAGGCTACCCCTACCCCTCTTTCTGCCAAGAAGGGTGGAAAGGCCGAGGAAATAACCTAAGCTATCTGAAGGGGGTTATTCTTTACCTTCTAACTTCCCCGTTACAGCACTTATTCGCCCAATTATTGTGCCAGCGTGTTCACATCTTACGATTACGTAGGTATCTTTCTATCGCGAATTTTGGAGCTTGATGTTGTTTACTGGCCCTTTAATTTACATTGGAAGTCCCCTTTCAGCTCTGAACATTGGGGCCTCTCCCGGTATGTTATGTTACTCTGTTTTATTTTCATGAGTGAATGATTTCTTATTTGTCTTTCGAAAGATGCACAGATGTGATGTCCTACTTGTTGATACTTCGCATAAAGCAAATGCCACATGTATGTCGTTGGGTTACTAATATGGATAACCTAATGGATCAGTGAGGCTGCCCAACAGTCGGTTGTCAGCTATTTAATGTATGTCCTATTCATATCTCAACACCTTAATAATGCTTTATGAGGAAAAAAATGAGTAAAAAGCATTTGTCAGTGGTCAATACATAATATCTGGTCTTCTAATATAAAATAAAGATGAAAAATTAAAGTATTAAAATTTTGTCAGGATTTTAGTGGAGTACCTTCAGTACTGGAGGCAATAGACGTACGCATCGATGGTGTTAATAGAACACTCTTAGGAGTTTCCTGTACGCAAGCTGTTTGGTAGAGGCGCTCAGTAAGCTAGCTAACCGACCTAGTTGGTTGTTCATATTTTATAATAAACAGCGTGAAAAAACATGAGGCGGAACTAGTATTCTCCAGATTGGATATACGGTTTGGTGAGTTGGTAAACCTTGATGATTGCACCAACTGTACTTCTTTCTCTTCATCTTGCTCCATGCTTTTTCAGGATTGGCAGGTCTTACGCACGTGTCGTTGCGCGGGTTATCTCGTGATGGGCAGTCGGAGAGTTCATGTGCCGATGCCGGCCGTGTTGCCATTGAACCGGTGCCGTATTTTCTTCATTTTTGCTTTTGCCTTTTGCAGACCTCTGTCGCTGGACGACATTCGAGCGAGCCTGGACAACATTGTCCAGCAGCACTGTGTGGCGCAGTCGTCGCTCATGAGGAGCTTAACTGGGTGAGAAGTCGTCACAGATTTCCTTGCTATACAAAAACAACAGCCTTACGTCTACCGAGTTAGTATGAAAAATGTTGCAACCTCACAGACCGACGATTAAGCAAATTCGTACGGATTCATTGCTATGCGTTCACATATATATTTTATGTCCTGCACTTTTGAATGAATCTGCAGTTGTGAGTTGGTGCTTGTGTTCATTTGTTTTGTCGTGTCGCCTCTTTCTATCATGGCATTTCATGATAAGACAAAGGACCTCGCGGACACGTCAAAGGATGCTAAAAGCAAAATGTTATATAAATTCATCGGCGACATCGCGTTGTGGCGTGGTAACGATTTTATGAATCATCGCGATTTGGGGCACACGTGGGATTGTCAACTGGCGACAGGTGGGCCGATTTCAGAGCAGTTCACCACCATGCGAGGTACAGAAAGTTTGCCGCGTAAGGTGATGACCAATGCAGTTGACTGAGAGCAAAGCAATTTAACAGGTGTCTTGTGCGAGCATACGATTTTGCCTGTACTATCTTTAGAATTGCTTAAAGGGACTGTCATTTTTTGAATAGGGCAAATTCACATGTTTTTTTTTTGTTTGGGGCAGTCGTTTGAATGCATGAGAGTGTAATTAATCAACTCTGTCAGCCACTTCAAGTAAGGCACAATTTTTTTTTGGACAGTAAACATACGGGGGAGTGGAAAAGGGGGTCAAAAGTTCACAGGCCACTATCCCATGTTTTCCAACGGAAGCATAGCCTGCAAACTTTTGACCACCCCTGTACCCTAAAATGTAGACATAACCAACATAGATATAACCAATAATTGGTTGTAATTTGCCTTGTGCAAGTAGTGAATTTTAGGTTTGAAGCGAATAATGATTTGGTAAAATAATTCAAAATGAACTTGAAATATGTATATTACATATGGTAAAGAAAAATGGGCATATTTGTCATGACCTAAAAAATGTGCACAATAAATTTACAAAAATTGATGCAAGGCCTGTCTTTTTGTTGTTGTTATTCAGAGAAAATGGTAACAACTTTAAATAGTACTAACAGGATTAGACTTTCGGGAGTATGCAAGTGCTAACCTGTAAAATATGTTGCATTTTAAAATTCATCATACTTCTAGCATATAAGCCTGTATAACAAGCCTTTTAAACTGCACCTGTTCAGGCATTGCCACTGTTTAACAACTTCAAACTCTTGCACTGTGGTGCAGCTTTGCTGCATTGCACGGGTGCATTGCTGAGAAATTATTAGGGTGACGTACGTGAGCACCATTGCTATAGAAGTGGGTAAATGGCCTGCATGCAAGGGAAGTCTCGGCTGATGACCTGCATTTAGGCTCAGGAGCTTGCGTCCATCAGAACATCAATCAATCAATCAATCAATCAATCAATCAATCAATCAATCAATCCAAATACAGTTAAACCCCTTTATATGAGATGCTTCAAGAAGCAAATCTTGTCTCTTATATGAGGTATCTCTGATATGCGATAGCGTTTTACACTATTACGTGCTCACGTAGGGTGATGTTCTACACACGAAATAAAATATAGGCTACATTTCCAGTTCATTGACTTGTCTTCTAGTTTTTGTGCAATTCTTGCCAAGTTGCATTGCCAACTGTCCCAGCTGTGCGTTCGAAGTGTTTTTATCCTCATGGATCAATTTGGTAGGGGATGACTTCTCTTTATTTTCTATTACAAATGTTTCAGAGAAACGCTGAGGCGGCTCGACGATGCTGGCAAAGCGGTGGTCGTCTCGCACTCCCTGGCCGCGTACCTCTCCACACTGGAAGCTGTCGTGCTGCGCAAGGTGACGGCGAGGATCGTCTCCGACACCGGTCTCTGGGTGTCGCGTCTCTTTAGGTGAGACACCGGGATCACATGCGCCAGACGTCAGAAAATACGTAGCTCAGCCGATGCACTGCCTTCTTTGTCTGGTATTTGTTTGCTCTTTTCTCGATAACTTTGTTCCTGAGACCTCTGTTCGTGGGGCACCCTGTGCGGTAACTGTTTGTTAAAACGCATCCATGGAAAACAAACTGTGCTATTACAAAATTGGCGACCAAATCTCGTTACACTCTAATCGCGATATAATATATTTGGATATGATGAATTATTCTTTATAATGAAGTACAGCATAGCTTTAAGATATTGTTACGAATAACATTTATAGAAAACTTACTGATATAACGAAGTATTTTCGTGGCAGATGTGACTTTGTTATGTTAAGGTTTGAGTGTATTGGGGACATAGCTATTCATACGTTTCTTAAATTCTGACGTCAGATCTCCTTCAGGAGGGATCCGTGTACGAGGTAGGAAAAAGGCTTTTCTTTTTTTCAAAGGGCAATCGTAGCCGACACGCTTCTCAGACACCCATCCCACCTTCTTCATTGACGGGGCCTTACCAAGTTTTATGACTGAAGCTCGTTAGCTGAGAAGCATTGTCACCTGGCCTACAACCACTGTGATGTGAAACCATGTTTATACGTAATCGTGTATCTTTAGTGCAGTGAAAAAGAAGGATGCAAAAGTGCACAGACATACACAGTGCTCTGGGCATTGCACTCGATCCTGATTATAACGAACCCAGATATAACGAAATATCGGTTATAACAAAGTGAATGAAAAATAGTCTTGCAATATATAAATATATTGCCACAGGCATGGAACGAGGTTTAGCCATGCCAATGCGAGTATGTGCCATGGTGTGAAAAAAGAGGACGGTTGGTGTGCTCGTGCTCTAATGTTCGGTTCGGCTCGACGTCCAGTGCTGCTCCTGTGAACAGACGTTGTGGTCGTTCTGTAATCACGTGACATTTTCTGGTGAAGGTGCGGGGTACTGTTGTATGCACTGCAATCAGCAGCAAAGTCCCGACACTAGTCGCGACTTGGAAGAACCAGCTGACCTACGGCGTAGCAGGCGACAACTAGGCCTACCTCCTGAACTCGGACCATTTCCACAACTCGGCAGTACTATGGCTAGTGCGGGAACGCAAACCCAAGAAACATCAACGCTGCCTCCTCCATGGTTCTTCAACGTCCCGCGAACTCCGAAGCCGTTCCACGGTGACCCTTACGAGGACGTCGACGACTGGCTTGACGACTACAACCGTTGCGGCAGCGTCAACGAGTGGAACGAGCAGCGAAAGCTTCGGTATGTCTACTTTTATCTCGAGGACTCTGCGCGCACTTGGTTCGAAAACCATGAAGCCACTATGACAACCTGGCCAGAGTTTTGCAACCAGTTGCAAAATACCTTTCGAAGCTCTGACCGAAAGGAGCAAGCGGAACGGCTCCTCAATTCCCGAAACCAGCGTCCGAACGAGAGTGTTGCCATGTTCGTTGAGGACATGTCGCGGCTGTTCTGGCGAGCCGACTCCTCAATGACGGAAGAGAAGAAGGCGCGCCTCCTATTGCGGGGAGTGAAAGAGCAGCTGTTCGCGGGACTAGTGCGCAACCCTCCCAGCACTGTAGCGGATTTCCTCCGCGAAGCCACGACAATGGAGAGAATGCTAAGGCAGCATTCGTACCAGTATGAGCGTCCTGGCAGTCTTTCGTCAGTGTCGTCGGCCCTGCCAACACCTGACGTCACGACTGTAAAAGACCTGACGGAGCTCGTGCGCAGTATTGTGCGCGAGGAGCTGCAAAAGCTGCACATGGTGTCTTCTCCGCCCCACGTTGCTGCTCTAACGGATGTCGTTCGCGAAGAGGTCCGGCAGCTGGTGCACCCCATGACAACTCTGCGTGCAGCCGAAGTCCAACCCATGACGGCCCCGCCTCCAGCCGAAGCTCCGCTATTAACGTACGCGGAAGCACTGCCTACTCCTACACCGGCTGTTGGCTATCCGTCCCGTCCGTCCAACCTACAGACGGCACCGTCGTTCTACTCGGGACCACCGCAGTACGGCAACCCACCCCTTACACGGAAATCCAGTTTGTGGCGTGCTCCCGACAACCGGCCTCTATGTTATCACTGTGGTGAACCAGGTCACATCTACGGTGAGTGCGCCTACAGGCACATGGGTCTTCCTGGCTTTCGTCCGGATGCTCGTCGACCCAGAGATGGTGAGCGGCCCCGTGCTATCGCCGAATACTTGGCAAGCCAACGATCCTCAACTCTTCCGCGTCGCCAATCCCGCTCACCATCTCCACGGTGTTCCACGTCACCTGGCCAACAATCGACCTTTGCGGACGTCCTTGCAGGAAGATCGCCTAGATCCACAAGCTCGCGCCGGGGAAACTAATAACAGCGACCTCTGGGGGTGAGGCCGCTGTTGATCGACCGTTACAAGACCCTCCCCCGATTTGCCTGCCGACATCCGACGACATTCTTTCACCGACGTGTGCCATCGACAACAAACGGGTCTCTGCTCGTATCTCTGTCCTTGTCGACAACCACCCGCTGACCGCTCTGGTAGATACGGGTGCCGATTATTCGGTTATAAGCGCTGACCTCGCTGCACAGCTAAGAAACGTAACGACACCTTGGGGACATGGAACCAACCTCCGGACTGCGGGAGGTCACCTATTGACACCGCTAGAAATGTGCACGGCCCGCCTCCGAATTCGTGAGTCGACGTACCTTGTTTTCTTCGTTGTATTGCGCGAATGCTCCCAAAACCTGATTCATGGAATGGATTTTCTCCGCGAGCATGGAGTCATTATTAATCTTCGCGACCTGCTCATAACGTTATCTAACGGCCATACAGCCCTACGAAAGGATGCAGTTGCGCCGACCACAACACTTCGAATTGCTGACGACACCATTGCACTGCCGCCGCGAGCCAGTATGTTGGTAACTGTGGAGAGCGACTGTGACAACAAGAGTAGTGGCATCGCGGAAACTAACCTCTTGGTGCTCTTGGCTTGGCAGATTTGTGTCGCGCGTGCTATCGTCAAACTGAAACATCGGAGGACTCAGCTTCTGATCACGAATTTCGGCGGCCAGTACCAACACTTGGCAAAGCGAACAGCAATCGCGAACTTTGAAGCCATCGATGACGAAGAATGTTCCACTATCGCTCCGATTGCCACTGCTGCCGAAGGTAACACTGCATTAGCCAGTACAGTTGACGTGAATTGCCAGCTATCCTGTGCGCAGCAACAGCAGATACGCATGATTTTACGTACGTATAGTGATTGCTTTGCGTCCACCTCCAAAATCAAGCAGACCCCAACCGTGAAGCACCGCATTATAACGGACCCTACCGAACGGCCTGTACGACAGCATGCCTACTGCGTGTCGCAAAAAGAACAAGAGGCAATACGTTTTCAAGTGAAACAGATGCTCGACGACGACGTCATCCAACCCTCAAACAGTCCATGGGCGTCACCCGTCGTACTTGTTAAAAAGAAAGACGGCACTCTTCGATTTTGCGTCGATTACCGGAAGCTCAACAAAGTGACGAAGAGAGACGTCTACCCTCTCCCACGCATAGATGATTCACTGGATCGACTTCGACATGCCCGATATTTTTCCTCAATGGATTTACGCAGCGGCTACTGGCAGATCGAGGTTGATGAACGTGACAGGGGAAAAACAGCATTCATAACTACCGATGGCCTCTACGAATTCAAAGTGTTGCCATTTGGATTGTGCTCTGCACCGGCAACGTTCCAAAGGATGATGGACACCGTCCTGTCCGGTCTGAAGTGGGAATCCTGCCTCGTGTATTTAGACAACGTCGTTGTTTTTTCCAAAACATTTGAGCAACATTTACAACGACTTCAGTTCGTCTTCGTCGCTATTCGATCTGCAGGCCTATCGCTAAAACCGAAGAAGTGTCATTTTGGCTACGAAGAACTAAAGTTCCTCGGTCACCTTATCAGTCACGATGGCATTAGACCAGACCCAGAAAAGACCATGGCTGTTGCTGCATTTCCTCTACCTTCGAACAAACGGGATTTGCCCCGGTGTTTGGGTCTCTGCGCCTACTACAGGCACTTTGTCCAGAGCTTTGCCAACATCGCTGAACCCCTTACCCGTTTAACGAAGAAAGATACTCCTTTTGTATGGGGTTCAGAGCAGAGAGCCGCTTTTTCCCAGCTTCAGCAGTGTCTTCAGAGTGAACCCTTACTAGGGCACTTTGATGAAGATGCCGACACCGAACTTCACACTGACGCAAGCAACATCGGTCTTGGTGCAGTACTCGTCCAGTGGCAAGACGGCGCTGAACGTCCCATCGCTTATGCTAGCCGCATTTTGTCATCTGCGGAAACTAACTACTCGACCACGGAGAAGGAATGTCTTGCTGTTATTTGGGCGATAACAAAGTTCCGACCGTATCTGTATGGCCGTCCATTCAGAGTAGTTACGGACCATCATGCCCTCTGTTGGCTGGCCAATCTCAAGGACCCTTCAGGGCGCCTCGCGAGGTGGAGCTTACGCCTTCAAGAATTTGAGGTTACAGCCGTCTACAAGTCGGGCCGCAGGCACACTGATGCTGATTGCCTTTCGCGCGCACCCCTCGCGACGACATCGAGGGACGATGATACCGATGGCCATTTTCTTTGTGCAGTCAGTGAATCTGACTTGGCCCAACAACAGTGGAATGATTCAGAGATCCAACAACTTATCAAATACCTTCAAGGTCGCAGCTCGAGTCCACCATCGGCATTCGCACGTTCAGGGTCATTTTGTCTCCGTAACGACATCGTCTACAAAAAGAACTTCGAACCTTATGCGACTGAGTACCTCCTCGTCGTTCCACCACTGCTACGTGCTGACATTCTATCTGACTGCCACGACGAGCCTTCCTCCGGCCACCTAGGATTCGCACGTACCCTTGCCCGGATTCGGACTCGCTACTACTGGCCAAAGCTCACCCAGGATGTCAAGCATTACGTTAAAACGTGCAATCATTGCCAGCGCCGTAAAGCCCCACCTGTGCGCCCTGCTGGTTAATTGCAGCCTGTTGCACCCCCGTCACAACCGTTTGAACGAATTGGCATGGACTTGCTTGGACCCTTCCCGAAGTCACATGATGGCAACCGCTGGATCGTAGTCGCTACTGACTATTTAACGAGGTACTGCGAAACGAAAGCCCTACAACGAGGCACCGCCAATGAGGTTGCGTATTTTTTCATCAACAACATCGTCCTCCGCCATGGAGCGCCAAGAGTTCTTATCACTGACCGTGGAACAGCCTTTACAGCCCAATTGATGCAAGACGTCACGAGGCTTAGTGGAACAGCTCATCGCAAAACAACCGCATACCATCCACAAACCAACGGTCTGACGGAGAGATTAAACAAGACGCTCGCTGACATGCTATCTATGTACGTCGACCGTGATCACAAAAACTGGGATGCAATTTTGCCATACGTAACGCTCGCTTACAACACTGCGGTTCAAGAGACTACGGGTTTCACTCCCTTCCGGTTGCTTCACGGCCGAGAAGCAATTACGATGCTTGATGCCATGCTGTTGCCTGACACGACCGATATTACTACGGATGCGAACGACTTTATCCGGCTCGCCGACGCGGCCCGCCAGCTTGCACTCGAGCGGATCCGAAAACAACAACGAATCGACTCGCAGAGGTACAACTCCCGTCATCGCCATGTCATTTACCAACTCGGTGATCTGGTCTGGCTGTGGATCCCCGTTCGCCAAAGGGGCCGCTCGGAAAAGTTACTTCACCGCTACTTCGGTCCTTATAGAGTTCTTCGGCGCCTCACCGATGTCAACTACGAAAAACTGCTTGAAGACACAGCTCGGTGATCTCGATGTTCCCAGCAGGCCGACATTGTTCATGTGTCACGGATGAAGCCACACTACCCCCGAGCCACCTGACACTGCTTCATCACGCGTCTTTGTGCGTGTACGCGACTACTTTAACTTTTAATCGGCATTGGTCATCGGGGTGGTACTTTTTTTTTTCCGAGGGGGGGGGGGGGGGGGGTAATGCCACAGGCATGGAACGAGGTTTAGCCATGCCAATGTGAGTATGTGCCATAGTGTGAAAGAAGAAGAGGACGGTTGGTGTGCTCGTGCTCTAACGTTCGGTTCGGCTCGACGTCCAGTGCTGCTCCTGTGAACAGACGTTGTGGTCGTTTTGTAATCACGTGACAATATATATAGTGTTAGGAATATACCTTATAACAAATTTTCACATATAGCGAACATGTTTTTTTTCTAATATGCAACTTTGTCATAATGAGGTCTGAGTTTAGGTAGTTAATTGCACACGTTCGCAGCATCTTTACCATGGCACAATGACACGGTGGTTGACTGGACGATGGTATACAGTGGAATTTCATTGATATGGTTCTGCATAATATGTTATTCCTCTTATTCCCGGCCAACTTTCACTGAAAATAATGAATTTTCAAGCGTGTAATACGATCACATTACTGCCCTGAATTTGTCTCTGAAGGGGATGCGCTGTAGTACACGACTACGACTGCTAAAGTGAAGTGGAGAGGGATGGGAAAGGAGTGCAGCATGATTTCTTGAAGTCTGGTGAGGTCCTCAACTTCAACTTTATTATTTCTTCTAGTACAGACTAGAAGTGTCCTCCAAAGCAAATATGGGGCTTCAGCAGCTTGACTGTGTTCCTTTGTCTCGTACCTGTCCCCTTTATGCAAGTACTCGTATCCTAATACATCATTGCTTGAGCCAGTGAAATTCATCGTGGCCTCGCATGCGCGCAGGTTCTTTGACTCGTCGGTCTTCTTTCACGAGGAGTCGCGGGAAGGGCTGGTGCGCGTGTGCCGCCTCGCCCTGCACGCCAAGTACCCGCGCCTGTCCCAGGGGGAAGGCTACCAGGCACTGGCCTCCCGACCGCCCGTGCTGTACATCGGGGCGCACACCCGCACCAGCCTCGGACACCACCTCTGTTCGCAAGTGAGTGCAATTGCTGGGCATTGGGCAGGGACCGTGCTCTCTACACTCAAACCCGGATATAACAAAATATTGGCCATAACGAAGTAAATGAAAAACAGTCTTTTCCTATCTGTATTGTTATGAACTTACTTTTATAACAAGTGTTTAGATATAACAAGCTTACTTTCATGTAAGATGCAGCTTTGTTATAATGAGGTTTGAATGTGCTTGTAGCAGTTTGTTTCATAATTACTGTATTACGTGATGCTATGTTATACTTGTTATTTTCATTTTGTATTCTTCGTGCAATATTGTTTATTGTCCTGCTGCATTTCCAACTTCTGACGGGGTCAAGACCTCGTCAAGCTCTTGAGCTTTGTCTCATACTCCTCCTATCAAAATGAAATAACTTGATTGATTGATTGATTGGCAAACTATGAGGAGGAGGGAACTGCTCTTTGAAAAATGTGTAATTCTTGACTGATTTTGTTGAAACTTGCCATGCTTATGTATATCTATGTGCTGGTTTCTAACCTGGGACTATTTTTCCAGTGCAACTTGTAGTTCCTAATGTATTAGATGTTTCATGTGCCTTTTTTCTAGACTTGATTGTTTATAAACTGAGAGTGTTACAAAGCAGATAAAAATATCACAATAACCTGCTCTAAGAGGTGTGTGCAAAGAAGAAAAAGTGCATCTTCTAAACCCACTTTGACAAGTGTTATGGAATTGCACTCAACAGTGTTGAACATGCACAAGTTATGAGATTGCACTCGCATAACATGACCTTGTTTTCTTGCATACAGTTATTAATTCATGTTGTTGCTGCATTTCCCATCGCAATCACCGACAAAAGGTCACAGTGCCCCAGTGCCACACAGTAACATAGGTCTATGCCCAGTCATATCTCCCAAGTACTTCTAATGAGTTTAGGGACGTTAAACCCCACATATAAATCAATAAAGAACTTCTAATAATTAGAATTCCCTGCCTGCATCTGTAACAGGCATCACTGACTCCACTAATTTTTAGCATATCCTTGAAACAATCTTTACCTAATTACCACCTTTTGTGTTTTAATCTACAATAACTTTCTTTTGCTTATTGCCTTCACCATCCAAAAAATAAATAAAAATATTGCTCATTGCTTATTTTTTATGGCATTTTATGAAGTGATTAGTCGTTAGTCTTGTGACTCAATCAGTTATATTTGTGTGACATGTGCTTTGTATTTCTTTTTTTTTATTGATGTACATTGCCTTTTCCTCTTTGAAAGGTACTCTGTACCCTCAGGGTAAAATAAATAAATATATAAATAGATAAAAAAGTATGTTAACGTATTTCATAATTCTCTCAGTTTACAAAATATCTTGCCTTGAAAATGGCACATGAAATGTTTAATATTTTAAAAACTATGAGTGGTGCTGAAAAACAATTTCATATTTGCAGCTGTTAAATTATTGCATATAAGAGAAGTGTTTTACATATTAAAATACTAGTTATACTTAACTGCATATAGCAAGCGCACATATGCACACTGTCGTTTTTTATGAAAGGGAACACGTGATCGCGTGACCTGCTCTCTACAACGGCTGTATCTTGCAGCACTTGTCCAGCGGCCACAACTCATTGTTTTGTTTGCCAATAGATGACGCCAAAAGCCAACGTCTGTCCTTTTGCTGTCGGTTAATGATAGTCCTGTAGGCAGCTGCCACACAGCGCAGGCCACATGCTCACATGCTCCCTTTTATGAGACACGACAGTGTACATGCACTTAGCTAGTTTCCACTGTATTGATCAAATATTGAAAAAATTGTTTAAGGACAAACCTCCCCTCTGCATTTGAACCCTGATATCTGAAGGGGATCGCAAATATTATGATGTGTGTATTGACACATTGGTGAAGTCAACAGATAATGAAGCCTAGCACAGTATAGGGGCAGTATTTATAGTTTTAATGGAAGTGCAGAAATTATAACAGAAACACGTGAATTCAAAGGATTTTGAACCACTTATACATGTAATCGTCAAATGACCCCAGAATTCAAGTTTCTGGCCCCACAAAGCGGTAACCGCGATAATCGCTTGAATTTGTCAGAAAAAAAGGATTTGTCGCTTGCTTTGAGTGGTTTCTCTTTTTCCTAGTTTCGTTGAGCGTGCTGCAAGCTATGCAGGGAGGGACAACACAGTGAAACGAGTTATGTCGGTGCGCTTTATGACCTTGACTGCAGGTCGTAAAACGCCATCGCTACCTCCCGTTACAATTCCTGTGTGCGCTAGTGTGGCTCACTGGGTGATGTTTGCAGAATAGGAAGTGTGGCCTCTGCATGTGGCAAGCACGCTGTGTCTATAAGCACTTTTCATCCAAATGCCTCTTTTGATTCATGTCGGCTATTGGCCGGTAACACGCTACTCATTGTTAGATGTCAAGTGGCAGCTGTAGGCACCTCTGAAGACAGTCGGGACAGCCCTTTGTTTTAAAAGGCTCGTGTTGTTTTTTTTCATAGTTTTTGTGCACGGTGTTTCTACAATGCAGTGAAGCCACCTTTACAGGGGGTCAAATGCACTGAATTGTACATATATTAGTTCATTTTGAATAATTGAATTCGCGCTTAAGCAAATTCAAATTCGCTCATTCGTAGTTCTTTCACGAAGCTTTAGGGGAGCTTCCTGACTTCCTCTAAATTGTATACATAAAAAAAACTCGTCTCTGGTGGGGATCAAACGTCCGCCCTCTGTATTCGCGTGGTGCTATGCTAACTGAGCTATGGTGGCTTCAATTTCACCTATGTATCTTGGTAGCAAGATATGTTGAATACTTAAACATGAACTGTGGAGCACTTGGCAATGACTTATTTTCCAGCTGGGACTTCCCGTCTCCTGCCTCAGGATGATTCCCCTTACAGGGACACCAGGCTCCCTCTACCAGACGGTACGTGTTAAGTTTTTTGCTACAGTAAACTTTCCAGTTTAGCCTTAGGGAACAACAGCAGAGTGGGTAGGGAACAAACGATCTTTAAGGACATTTTAGTCGAAATCAAGAAAAAGAAATGGGCAAGGCATGAAGCTTTGCAGGCGAGATAACTGCTGGTCATTCTGAATTGCTTGCTGGATTCCAAGAGAAGGGAGACGTGCCAAGGTTATGGCAGAAAGTGTAGTGGGCAGCGGAGATTAGAAAATTTGCTGGGTAAATGGGGCCTCGGCAAGCGCTGGAGAGGGTTGATTGGTGAAATATGCGAGAGACTTTTGCTCTAAAATGAGTCTAGTCAAGCTGACGATGATGATAAAACTTTCAAGCGGACCGTATCTGCTGCCTAGTCTTGTGAGGTTACTTTGATACTGCTCTTTATCATTCACTGATCTTGCTGTAGAAAGTGTTCTGCTTCTCACGTCCATGTGCTTTTATCTGTTTTCAACACTGTCACTCCATGCTTGGTGTTTGTCGCGGTCGCATTTCCATGGAGGCGAAATCATAGAGGCCTAGGCACTGCGCGAAATCCATGCACGTTTACCAACACCAGGTGGTCAAAATTTCCAGAGCCCACCACTATGACATCTCTCATAATCATAGCGTGGTTTAGGGACATCAAACCCCAGATATTAGGGATATGCTCTGTGTTTGTCTTCCAGGACCTTACAGCGCTGGAGCAGAGCATGGACGAAGACGTGGTGCAGGGCCGGGTGCCGACGCTGGTGGTGGTCAGTGCGGGCTCGCCGGCCATCGGCTTGGTGGACCCTCTGCAGGGACTGCAGGACCTGTGCAAGCGGCACGAGGCTTGGCTGCACGTCGAGGGACACGCGCTCGCCGCTCTGTGCCTCGTGTCGGTTCCCAACCTGGTAAGGAGCGTGGCTCTGTCCACAACGCGCGCTCTTTCATGTTCCTCTGTGCTTGATGGGGCAGAGTGTGCAATGTTGAGTGTGGTGCATTGGCTAGTTCTGCAGAAACCGATAAACAGGGGTGGCGCCAAAGTTTTCTTTAAGCGAACCTTCTGTATGAGTTATATAGGTTTTGGGAGTGATAGCGTCATTGGTGAAAAACCCAGCGCTGGCAAGTGTACTGAGATGCAGGTGTACACAAATGCGACCGTCGAAGGTGCACCAGTACGGACCATCTTCCAATCGATGGCCTTCTCAGCGCTCAGTCGTTTTCCGAAGAGGCAATCTGATCTTTGATTGAGGTCACTTGTCAGTGTCACATTTTGTTGCTGTCTTTCGTAGCGTCGCGCATTGGTGACATTGTTGCCTTTAGTCGCAGTGTCGCTCGGCTAAGTGCCCGGGTGAAGCTTCAATTTTCGGCATGAAGGATGGAACAAGTTGGAAAGGAGCATGTGCAGTGGGATGGGGAGAAAGAAATATAAATTGTAGGTTGCACACATGCTCAGCTTAGCCTTCCCCCTATTTCAATCCTGAATTGTTGTTTATCGTGTTGGCTGTAGTACCAAATTAAAAAAAAAAATATTCAGTGTGGATTATATGTGAGGAAATGCATAGACTATGTGTTGTGCACATAGATGCTCTTGCATAACTTGGGCTAATGATCATTGATGGGTTCTGCCGAAATTTTCCTGATATTTTTTTTAAAATTTTCACTACTGGTAAGCTTAGTAATGTGGTCGACTGTGATCCGACTGTAAGTTTTTCTTTGTCTTTTCCTGTTGCAGCCGGCTCGTACTGGAGACAGCGTGTCGCTCCCTCTCGGCACCTGGCTTGGTCTACCATCTGTGCCCTACGTTGTATCCTTTAAACAGCATTTTTTTTTCAATTTTTTATTCACATGCTATAAAGGTCCTTGATGGACATTAATTACATAAAAATGGCTATAGTGAAACAGTTGTACAGCAGATAATAAATTAGCACTTGCGTCTTAAAAATATATTACAGTCGAACCTGCAAACGTAGACGCTTAGTAAACGAAAATATGTTAAATATAATTGATGCACAAATGAAACGACTGCCTTTAATGTAATTGGTTTCGTACTGGAATTCTCCACCCTCTTCTCCTTTCAGCAAATGAAAGTCCCGTTAAATGGAAGGTATTTTCCTGGTCCCTTCACCTTCCTTAATCTTAGAGATATTAAAGGCTGTCGTTCATATATGTTCTCCCCCTGTAGCATTATGAAATGAAAAAGGTGGATCGGGTCATGTGCATGGCATGCCACTCCCAAATAAGCCACCATAAGAGTCTACTGTCATATTGAACCCATATATAGTACATGTACTACATGTACATGTACTGCATGTACATGTACTATATCTTGTGTGCATGTACACTCATAGCTCAATGTGACGAACCCAGACACAACGACATATTAGTCATTACAAAGTAAACGAAAAATAGTCTTACAATAGATACACTGTTAGGCATAAACCATTATAACGAATTTTCGGATATAAGGAACTTAGTTTCATCTAAGATGCTACTTTGTTATAAGGAGATTTGAGTGTACATCTCAAGGGTAATCTCCACGAGCTGTACATGCACACTCTGTGCCACCTTACACACAAATACTCGTACACTCCATCCATCTTCACTGGGAAGAAGGAAATCGTAGCGGCCCGAAAATATCAATCTATGTTAATATTCTGTTGAATGACACAAGTCCCTGTTTCATTGGTTTATGTTCCACAGTGGCATTCGTGCAAAAACAGGTGTGAGGAGACTTTCGCGTGTATGCACAGTTTGTTGCTTGCCTTGACGACGACTCGTCAAGACCTTGTACAAGACAAGCGAGGCAGCGCTGGCGCATGCGGCTGGCCTGAGCTCGTTCAGCGTGCACAGCAAGCTGCAGTGTCTCCCCCTGTGGGTCGGGCTGCAGAGCCTGGGACACCAGGGACTCCTGCAGCGAGTACTCCACTGCCTGCGTCTGGTGAGCGTGCGATTGTGGCTTCGCACCGTACCTTCCTGAAGACGCGCGCATTCGAATTTAGATGAGCTCGCATTTCTAATTGAGTAGAAGGGATGCCTGGGTAACTCCTGTTTATCAGGAGCCGTACTCCTTAGGCCAGCACCTGCTGACGCCGTCTAAGCTCTCTGCAACGTGGATACGGCATCAGCGCAAAAAGACAATGAATTGCTATATCAGGGTCGAATGCTTGTGCTGGCTCTACATAAATGGGCCGAGTAATTCGCCTCATTGGAGCAATAGCAGCAGTGCTCGGCTGCTGACCCGAAGCTCACGGGTTTGATTCCGGTCAGGGGGGTCGCATTTTGATGAAGGCGGAATGGTAGAGGCCCGTGTACTGTGCCTTGTCAGTGCACTTCAAAAAATACCATATAGTCGAAATTTCTGGAGCCCTTTACTTTGGCATCTCTCATAATCATACCGTAGTTTTGGGATGTTCAACCCTAATACTAACATAATTAAGTGTGCCGAGCAAAACAACAGGTGTACTTGCGCTCTTCTCCCACCTGCCTCCCTCTTTCTTTGTCTCTGCTATTTCCCCTCGAACCTGCTAATGGGCGAAACTACTGCTTCACCCTGTTGTCCGCACTGGGGTTGGTCCGTTGCCTGGATTTGCTCGCTGTGCATGCGGCACATTCCCTCGCTTAGTCGTTTCGCCACCGAGTGCAGCAGATGCTCTCCCCACACGCTCCCCACCATGCCACCTTGGTTAAAGTGTCAGCAGAGATTGGGCACATTGGCGTTTGCGTCCCATTTCTAAGGAGCTTCGCTCATTTGTGGTATTCGTGCACGGAAGAGCTGCTAGTTTTGAAGAACCTTTTGCATCCATTTTTTTTTGCTTTGTGCAGAGTGAAATGCTAAGGGAAAGACTGGACCAGATTCCGGAGATAGAAGTCGTGGTAAGTTTGCAGCTGCCATGATGCGGCTTTTAAGTCTGTTTCTGTTTGGCGCATGAAAGGGCTGATTTTACTAAAGTTCAGTGTGCCAGTTCCGAACGATCTGCGTTGTCTGTTTCGGCCGAGCAGTTATGCGCAAATTTCTTTTTTGTGCCGCTTCGCCACAGTGAACCAAAAAGTAGCAGATGGATTGGATGATCGTATGTGAGCAGAGACTTTATGCTTTTAAGCACTAATAATAATAATAATAATAATAATAATAATAATAATAATAATAATAATAATAATAATAATAATAATAATAATGGGTATAATAATAATAATAATAATGCACTGCTGCTGAGCAGCAGATCGGCCAGCTGCATGTTCTTTACACACTCGAGCCTCATTATAACATTGTCAGGCCTGCCACAAAAGTAATTCGTTATACCCAAAAGTTTGTTATAAACGTATACAGTTAAACCTAAATATAACTGAATTAATAAATTCACCAAAAATTAATTGTAAAGAGGATTTCGTTATGGCAGGTTCGGTACGAAAATTCGAAAAATAAACACGCGAATTAAACAAAAGGGCGACTGAAGGCAGAGCTAACCCAAGATGCTTATTTTACAGTAAAAACCTTCGTTATTATTGCGATAGCAATTATATGGACACTTTCGGCGGGTTTTTGCTGTCGCCGCCATGTTCCGTAACAAGTCAAAACTGATAACATGCCCACACATCGTAACTTCACAAGCGGGTAAAATCACGCTAGCACTGCTGAAGCAGAGATCAAATGAGTCTGCCCATCCCTATTGGCTGTAAAGTGCATAAGATAACATCTGCCACGTGTTAGAACTGCCGTTGAATTCTCAGAGTAAACTACCTATCTTGGATGAGCATGAAATAACGCGGGGAGGGGGGTCGTTCAAGTATGCTTGAGTGGCAATAATGAACTTGGATTTTAAGGGCGGTCGCGATCGCTGGCGCGCTTGCTATCTCGGCGAGTATCAGTGCGATTTCAGTACGCAAAGGGACTGTGTGAAAAGAGCAATTCTCCCTGGAACGGTCGTCTTTGCTCACACTAGTGTTTCTCAGGAGTTCCGCGATATCGAATCAAAAAGAGTTGGCTGCCAACCTTACTTCTTATAACATTACAATTTTTTGCTATCGCGTTCATCGTATTTCACACAACGCGCCATTGTGTTACCAGAAATGATCGGCTAATCGGGAAATCCACCAGCTTGCAAACTCACGGCGTGGCGCTTCCGAAAATTGGTGACCATCACCGTGGTCTCGGAGAGTTTGCATCAGCGGCTAATCTGACATACCCTCGGTGGTGAGGACACGGTTGTCCGAAATTTCGCCGCAAGGGCGAAGCATTGAATGCGATAACAACTTGGAACGTAACGCTGAGAACAGCAAGCAGATCGAAATGTGCAGCGCGCTGCTCATGCAGAAATGACGCTCTAAAACAACATACACAGGACGAGAGCAGACTAACAACATTTACCGCTTGACGCTTAACGTGCTGTTTAAACAAAACGAGGCACGAAACGTAACTACAGGTACAAATATAAGTGCAAATTAACAAGTGCCCCAGTTGTTACTTCGGTGTGTTTGAAAAGTGCACCCCTTTCGCAAACGGTGCCTGTCCAGTGAGCGAAGTGATCCTTGTGTGCCCGTCAACTGAATGCAATCATTCTGGTCAAAGTCGAAGGCACGCGATTCTCCCCACCAAAGGATAAGCACGCCTGCACAATCATCTAACCATAAAATAGAGGAGGCGTTAATCTAACTCACCCCCCGTTTCTGGGGCAAAGTACGCGTGGGAGATAAGCGCGAGTCGGCGCAATCGTGACGAGCTGGGCGCTGAGCGCAGACGGCTTTTTCTTTTTTTATCTTTCTTGAGTTTTTGATACTACCTAATACATATACCATGATTGACGGCAACAAAAAACCAACTGAGACTGTCCATATACATAATTGCTATCTCAATAAAAAAAGCAATGCTGACGTCGTTAGTGGCCACATCTTGCACGCGCAGTAAAACTATGCACCCACGCACGACGTCGAAAATAAAGAGTGAGCGACACTGAAATCATGAGAACTGTTCGGCAAAGCTCTCTCCATATGCAGCGTGGCCCCACATATGTGACGCTAACTAAAAGCGCGGCACTGCCAACGCGCAAAATTAGTTTGTTTTTTTTGTTTGGAGTAGAAGGGAGCTCACTCACGTGTGCAACCGCGGCGGCGAGAACAGCGGCAACGCCGGCTCGGGTGCAGGCCTGCCTGCCAGTCTCATGCGGACGCGGCCCGCGTGCCCGCCGTCGCCGTTTCGCGCTTCGTCGGCAGCGGCGCAGCCGCGGAAGATACATGCTCGTACCAAAATGCTAAAATGCGGGGCAAAGTTTTTAGATTGTCTGTGGGGAAAATTCGTTATACCAAGGTTATCTCCCGCTGTTACTTTGTTACATAGAAGTCGCAAATACATGTGCTTCTATGGAGCAATGGCGGGGAATATAAATACTTCGTTATAACGATGAATTCCTTATATTGACGTTCGTTATAAGCAGGTTTAATGGTATTTGTAACATTGTACTTATGGTAAGACTAACTTCGTTGTAACCAATAATTCATTATAATCGAGCTTTTTATATGCAGGCTTAAGCATACCTATCAGGCTCCTTAGCTATAGCTATGTTGACGGGCACGAGTAGGTGAAACAGTGAAACGAGCTGTGATCATGGATGCTCAGTAGATGTGTAATTCGTAGCTGAACATGGCAACGGTTGCGTGTTTGACCTTAGAAATTTGGTGAAGATTGACTCCGAAAGTGCTTGTAGCATTGCGTGTTCAGCAAGTTGTGGCAAAAATGGTTAACGGCAGCATACACAACAGCATAACTAGGGTGCCAATTTGGGGTGGAGTCATTGAATTATATTTGTTCCAAGCTGCCTTGGCTGCTTGGCAATGAGGGACAGAATTTGAGAGTACTGATGTTCGTAAACTAATACTGAGCCTAATTATTAATTTCAAGCTGTTCTTTGTAACATGTCTCTCATGGCCTCTGTTATGCTTTGAGATGTTAAATTTAATTAATCAATCAATCAATCAATCAACCATTCAAAAGTAGACAATATTGGTTTGCCTGAAATGCACAGGCATTTTAGGCAAACATTTTTTTCATTTAGGCATAGCTATTACACCAGAATAACTAGAGTGCTACTACTACTAGTACTATTAACAGAAGTGTTGTCCACTGCTTTTAATAGGGCAGGCCCAGGGCGATGTCAAAAGAAGGACAGGTGCTTTCCCTGGCTGACGTGGTGACAAAATCTGTTGGAACTCTGGTAAGAGCCACGCTTCTTTATTCTTTTTTCCCAACTTTTTTTTTTCATTAAATAAAGGGTGTGTAAGTTTTGTGGGGTCAAAAAAGGTTTTTCTCCATCCTGGTTGCATTATTAACTATTTTTTAGAGACTTTCAAATCTCGCTCAGTAGTATTAAAGCTGCTACAATGACAATAATAAATGTATGAACGTTAAAGAACAATTTGGCTGCATACTTGCTATATGTTGCTGCATGATTAAATAGGGAACGGTACTTTTTAAATTGCTTTTTAACACGGCAGCATTAAAGAGCTCGTTATGCAGAAGTTCTGGCATCGGCATCGTCGAATGTGAGAGGAAAATCTTGTCTGTGATCGAAAAACTAAAAAAAAGATGAAATTATTTTAAAAGGTAAAAATTTCGAGGGCTGAGTGAGTATCAAACCCAGGCTGTCTACGGGACAAGCAGGTGTTCTACCTTAAAGTCACAAGATTTTTTTTAAACTACTTTAGAAAAAAAAAAAACATTGAATCTTTGTAGAGGAAGGAATCTCCTTTAAGCATCATATATTGCGTGGCAGAAGTGTAAATCGTGCCAGCCATCAAAAGGTGTGAATTGAGCTACAACTGGCTGTTTTATAGTTCAGTCTATTACAAAGCATCATCAGTAGTGGAACCATCAACAAAGTGAACAGCTGCATATGGTCGTGTGTTGCCCTGTGGACGCGTAGTTGGCCCTTCGCTGATTCCCAACAGAAATAATCATGGCGTAGTGGGCGCTCAACTAAGCTTGCAATAAGCATTCAATGATACTCTGAAACGGCCGACTATGCAACAAGCACAGTTTTTCATTTCCTTATGGCACGGTTGAAGCATGTTTTGAGAACCCGAATGCAACTGATACGTTCTTCAGCATTGGTACTAGCAAGACCTGTACTTCGCCTAACTTCGCAGTTGCTGTTCGACGTCGTTGTTCCTGTGGTGACATTTCGGTATATGCCGGAAGAGGCCCTGCTGGAAGGGGTCGAGGAGGAGGAGGAAACTCAGGAAGAAGGATCGACCGAGGTCTCGTCGGAGACTGAGTCCAAGCGCAACACGCCGGACGAGGCCACCGCTGCCGGGGAGAAGGCAGAGACGGACGCCATCCTGGACGACGAGCCTTCCTTGCGCGACACCTCCTATCGCAACAATCTCAACTCTTGGGTGAGTGTTTGCTAAGTGCAGTGTACAAAGAAGTGCAATTCTATTCTTTGGGCATGTTGATTGTTCATGTCGATAAATTTACGACACAGAAAAATGATAAGCGTTTGCCAGACAAACATCTACTACAAAACACGTGACGTTGTGGATTGCGAGATTGACTTGAACTAGTGCCGAGTGCTGGGCCAAAGCCACTCCCATCCAACTAACGTGAAAGATATTGGAAGTTGTACTCGTGTCTCGCGCATGGCGCTCCACACTCGTGAAATTGGCGCAGTCATTTTTGTTCTGTTTTTATTGTTCTTTCTTTCTCAGGTCTCCTTTATAGTCTGCTGTTTCCTTCAGTAAATTTCTGTTAGTCAGCCCTTTGTCTGCCACGTCTTCTCTTGTGTCCATTTTTTTTTGTGCTGCAAATTTATTGGCAGTGTATTACATTGTTACGCAATTAGCTGTGGTAGGGAAAGTGCCGTAAATTCAGGTAATAAAATATTGTATGCTTGCGCAACATCACATTGTTTTGCCGGAACTCTTGAATACCTTGGCGAATGTTGTTGTCGCCATAAAATTTTGAGCGAATAACCAGCAAGTGTTCTTGTAATAAAGGTTTTGTTTTGCCTGCAGCTGGCCCAAGTTCTCAACCGCGACGTCCCTCGTGCAGCGCTGGACCTCCTCGACCTGGACCCATATGGGGCCTGCCTTCGCTTTTGTCCTCTGGAGAGCGCACACGGTAATAAAAGAAATAAGCATTGGTCGCAGTAACTTTTACATCACGTTCCTGAACACATTGGGGTCATCTAGACTTGAAGCTCGTTACGAGTTACTGGCCACGGCATTGCTTGCAAGGGAGCCAGTGCTGGCGAGTGTATAAAAGTGCGGATACACAAAAATATTGCTGTCAAAGAGGGCGAGAAAACACGTGTTTTTGTGCGTGTAATTTAGAAAAAGATAATGCTTTCTTGATTGTAGGCCCTTTGGCGATCAGCCATTTCTGATGCGACAATCTGAGCTTTTATCAAGGTGACTTGTCTATTTATGATTTCATTGTTGCCTGTACACGAATTCATTGCTGCTGCTGTTGCTCATAGCAACTGAAATATTTTTGCTGCTGGCCATGTAGGCAAAGGTCCCGTTTTCGGCATGGAGGAAAGAAAAAGTCGGAGGGAGCGCAACACAATGTGATAGAAGGAACGGAGCAAACAGTAACAGTTGGTCATGAAGGCACTCGAGAAGCTTTGCTTGCTGTGTACCTTCCTTTCTGTCTACGTGGATTTGCGGCCACACGCAGCATGTGCTAAGTTGTGCACTTTTCTATCATAGGTTGACTCGTGCTTGCCGCTGTACGCTGCCTGGCCGTCCGTCATCAACTTCTTCCGCGCATCTGCATGACGTAAAGAACCTGCTGACTGCGGAGATAACCTCACGGAGTCTGCGCCTGCGCCATCAGAAACAGTGCCACCTACGCCTATAAAAGCATCGCCACAACGGGAATTCATCGGGATTTGCGGCCACACGCAGCATGTGCTAAGTTGTGCACTTTTCTATCATAGGTTGACTCGTGCTTGCCGCTGTACGCTGCCTGGCCGTCCGTCATCAACTTCTTCCGCGCATCTGCATGACGTAAAGAACCTGCTGACTGCGGAGATAACCTCACGGAGTCTGCGCCTGCGCCATCAGAAACAGTGCCACCTACGCCTATAAAAGCATCGCCACAACGGGAATTCATCGGGATTTGCGGCCACACGCAGCATGTGCTAAGTTGTGCACTTTTCTATCATAGGTTGACTCGTGCTTGCCGCTGTACGCTGCCTGGCCGTCCGTCATCAACTTCTTCCGCGCATCTGCATGACGTAAAGAACCTGCTGACTGCGGAGATAACCTCACGGAGTCTGCGCCTGCGCCATCAGAAACAGTGCCACCTACGCCTATAAAAGCATCGCCACAACGGGAATTCATCGGGATTTGCGGCCACACGCAGCATGTGCTAAGTTGTGCACTTTTCTATCATAGGTAGGAATTTTGTGCTTGTTATTGTGACTTAGCTAAGTGCAATTGTTTGTGGCTGCTTATCCCCCTTCCTGTACTTTGATTGTTGTTCAAATGGGTGTTGATCTGTGCACTCACCGGGCACGCATTGGTCTGTTCTCTGTGCGCCATAAGCCCCGGTACAGCAGTGTCGTTCCCTTCAGTGACAGTTCGCACTTCATCCTCGCTCTTTGCCCTAGACCTTCGCTAGGATTACTATCAGTATGCTTCGCCTTGCTACTGCTCCAAGCGGGAGACGTTGAAACCAATCCAGGTCCCAAGATTGACGACGTCCTAGTCTTCCTTAGGGAGTTTCGTGAAGAAGTCGCGACAGACATAAACGATGTGAAAGAACAAGTTGCTAATCTAAACACCCGGATCACCGCTATTGAAAGCAAAATTAGTAGTGTACAAGAAATACAGGATCACTTTGACGCAGTCAGGACATCCGTTCATGAAGTTAAGGCTAACATAAGAAAAACTAATGATGAGCTCATTGATGTCGTAGACGATATCAGTAACAGAATGAGGCGTAACAACCTAATAATTAAAGGCATACCTGAAAATGGTCAGGAGGGATATGCCGAATCCGAAACCATCGTGAAAGATTTCTGTTCTACCCACTTGAAGATTAACGTTGGCGACATCGAACGCGCTCATCGTATTGGTCAGCGCCGTCCTGGCTTTCATAGGCCTATCATCATTAAGTTCCTCAATTTCAAAACCAAAACAGAAGTTTTACGGAACGCCCCCAAACTGAAAAACCTCGATTTCCCGAAGGTATGGATAGAAGAAGATTTTTCTCCCAAAGTTCAGTTGGCTCGCAGAAAATTGCGTGAATATGCCAGGAGTAATCGTGAAGGAACAGAACCATTTTCTATACGTTATAACTCTCTGCACTTGAAAGGCTCCATCTACCGATATGACCCTGTCAAAGATAACATCGTAGAAGTTCCTACACGCAACCAGTCATCGCGTACTTGACAAAAACTTGCAGAAAAATCCAAAGCTGTATCTTCAAATACTGTCTCGTTACTTTTGGCCAACTTCCGCAGCCTGTATCACAAACTAGACAGTTTAAAGGCACTGATGCATACTTGCTCTGCTGATGTTATAATTGGTACTGAAACCTGGCTATCCAGCGACGTCGCGGACAGTGAACTAGCTCTGCACCCGTCTTTTAAGATATTTCGCAAAGACAGGGAAAATTCTCGAGGAGGCGGAGTTATCATTGCTATCAGAGGAGATTATAATCCTTCACTTTTGATTGTCGATACTCCCCTAGAACTAGTTGCGATTACCGCGCGTATTGGTCATGCGCAGTGTGTGATTGTTGCATGCTATCGCCCGCCTGACAATCGGTCAGACTTTGTACACTTATTTAATACCGCCATTGAACATATTTTTTCTCAATATCCGAAATGCATTTTGATAGTAGGGGGAGACTTTAACTACCCTTATATCGACTGGTCAAACTCTTCTCTGAAAGAAAACAGCAATAGATCTGAATGTGTTAATTTCTTGCATACTCTGCATTTTCATCATTTATCTCAAGTTGTACAAAAACCAACACGAGGCAATCATATCTTAGACTTAATCTTGACAAATCATCCTGAATTCAGTGAAGTCCGAGTGCTTGATCCAATAAGTGACCATAATGTCGTACACTGCTCGTTTGCACTGAAATCCACCGTACAAAAGAAAATGAAGAAGTGTATTCTCAGTTACGCTCGCGCTAATACTGAAAAAATGATAGCCATTTTAGCACCATTTGCCGCAGACTTTTCAAATGAATTCCAAAATAGATCTGCAAATGACAATTGGTGTTTGTTTCGAGACAGACTGAAGGAAGTTGAAGCTAACTGTATACCTAAGATAACCATCACCTCAAGGCCGAACGACCCCTGGTTTAACCACGATGTAAAAAAATGCATAAACAAGAAAAAAAGAGCTTTCAGAAAGTTTTCTCGGACAAAGACTCAAGCAGACTGGGAAAACTACAAGAACATATCACGTCTTACAGAAACAGCTATTGCTAACGCCAAAAACGAATTCTTCAACTCCATCCTTCCAAATATGCTGAAAACTGACCCAAAAAAGTTTTGGCAAGTTGTAAACCCCAAACATAATCATGCAGCTCCCTTACTTACTGAAAATGGCGTGACTTTGAGCATTATAGATAGCGCAAACAAGTTTCGTAAATGTTTTTCCGACGTTTTTACTAGGGAACACGCACTTCATGATGCTCATATATCTCATCAACCGCTCATCCAGTACCCTTTCTTGCCCATCGTAATATCACAAAATGGCATATCTCGTGCCATTGACAGGCTCCCTAATAAAACCAGCCCCGGTCCGGATGGTATAAGCACCAAACTTCTAAAATTTACGTCCCAATACTCGTCTTTATTGCTATCTTTAATATTTCAACAATCGCTGGATACAGGATGCGTACCAGAAGATTGGAAATCTGCCTTAGTGATTCCAGTTTTTAAATCAGGTGACTCCACAGATCCCACCAACTACAGACCAATTTCTCTAACATGCATCTCCTGCAAACTGCTTGAGCATGTTTTGTATACCCACATTATAACTTACCTCAACCAAAACAACTTGCTTCTTGATAACCAACATGGATTCCGTCAACATCGCTCATGTCAAACTCAACTGTTCGAACTCGTCACAGATATTCACACTTCAATACACAATCAACTTTACATAGACGCCATCTTCATTGACTTTTCTAAAGCATTTGATCGCGTGCCTCACAATCGCCTCAAACTTAAAATCAGAAATTTACAACTTGATTACAACTGTACGCGATGGATTGAAGAATTCCTTAGTAATAGATTTCAGGTAATCAGTTTGCAAGATTGCTTTTCTACCCGTGCTGACGTCATCTCGGGAGTTCCCCAAGGCTCCGTCCTTGGCCCATTATTATTTTTGATATACATAAATGACATAGCCGTTAATCTCGCATCTCAAATACGCCTTTTCGCAGACGATTGCGTCATTTACAAACCCATAACCAGCAACAGTGACGTCATTTCTCTACAATTAGACCTAAATAGGCTAACAGAATGGTGCAACATATGGCAAATGGTAATCAATATTTCAAAGACTAAACACGTGCAATTCGCTTCAACTATTCGCCAGAACGCTAATCAATATAAAATACGTGGTGCTAACATTGGCTCAGTATCCTCGATTAAATACCTTGGTGTACTTTTTACGTCAAACTTAAACTGGAATGCGCACATTGAACACGTCACCTCCAAAGCATGCAAAAAACTAGGATACCTTAAACGACGCCTACATGTCGCAAACACTGATACGAGGCTTCGTGCGTATATCTCACTCATAAGGCCTTCTTTGGAATATGCCTCTATAATTTGGCACCCTCATCACGCTTACTTGTCCAATCTACTCGAATCAGTTCAAAATAAAGCAGCCCGATTTATCATGTCTTCATATTCTCACTACGTAAGTGTATCTGCCTTGAAGAAAAGGCTAAATCTTGTCAGTCTTGGCTCACGCAGAAAATTTGCACGTCTGGTGTTTTTTCATAATCTTCATCATGGAAACTCCACATTTGCTCGAGCTAACCTTCTGCCTGCTCCCATTGTATCTACTCGGCGAGACCATGTTCATAAAATAAAACCAATATTTGCACGAACGAACTTGTATCAAAATTCGCCGCTAGTGTTATCAATTACAGAATGGAATTCCTTGCCCTCATCTCTAGTGTCGCTTACAGAATCAACTCTATTTCAAGCTGCTCTAACAGTGTTTTTCGATGGAAACCCTCCTTAGCCCAATATATTCGCATATCTTGTGAACTTGTCACTACTGTTGTATTTGCCTTGTGTATTTTTGTCCCAAACTTTCTCGTTACCACTTCGCATTGTGCTCTATTTTTATAATGTCACCTAAAGTATTTCATGGTTTTTGTGTGCATTTTTTACCATTATATGTACACACCTCGTTTTTGTAAACTCACTTGCATCCCCCCCTATGTAATGCCCTCTTTGGGCCCTTAGGGTATTTGTATAAATAAATAAATAAATAAATACGTAGGCTTGTGTGACAAAGTTTCCGTCTGTGCTCTGCTGGGTGTGTCGACCAACGCATTTGTGTGCTTGTCAATGCAGTGTTCGGCACGACGACTCAGGATGTGGAGGAGTTGCACAACTGTCTCCTCAAACATCTGGTGAGTGAGCAATCGGGGACGATAGCATTGCTTCGAACCGAAATGCACTTTCGTATTCACAAGTTGTATCTTGCGCTGGAGCGCTCTTTAGGGCTGGTTAGTTGTTTAACATTGTCTGAACAAAAACTAGTAAAAAAAGTACACTAAAAGCTTTTTCATTTGAATTTCACGAAACCGGAAAAATGTGTCCTAATTAACTGAATGCTGAATCGTTAGAGTAACGGTAAATAAAGGGCTAATACATTAATACACTTTCATTTTATTGATGAAAACGTGAATACTCTACATATTTTGCAATAGAGCAGTTAAAGACCCTCGAATTTTATTGTTTGTGACTTTGCAATGCTACTGTGGTTCAAGTCCCCCACGTTGAACCGAAATGTGTTCTGAACCCATGCTTTAATGAATCACCATCACCATCTTGTGGCCCCGCCGTGGTGGTCTAGTGGCTAAGGTACTCGGCTGCTGACCCGCAGGGCGCGGGTTCAAATCCCGGCTGCGGCGGCTGCATTTCCGATGGAGGCGGAAATGTTGTAGGCCCGTGTGCTCAGATTTGGGTGCACGTTAAAGAACCCCAGGTAGTCGAAATTTCCGGAGCCCTCCACTACGGCGTCTCTCATAATCATATAGTGGTTTTGGGACGTTAAACCCCACATATCAATCAATCAAATCACCATCTTGTGCACATGACGGCATAATGTAATCGTAGATGATGATCACGCCTTTCTGATGGCGTGTGGATATTTCTGTTGTCAGTGAACGCGGTTTTCGTTCCGTCGCACATTTGTGGTGCTTCGAGCTCGGCGTGCTCCTAGGATCGTCAGAATTGACTGGGTTGCAGCCAAATATGACTGGCCTAACTAAAGAGAGTTTACTGGCATTAAGCGATGCATGTTGCCACCTTCTATTTCTCAAGTTTTGTTATCGCCCCAAAACACTACACAATTCTCCGCGCAAACCGCGCCAGCAGTTTTCGAGAAGCTTCCGGACTTTAGTAGATCATTTCGATAAGATCACGCCTACTCTGCGAACTGTACAGATTATTCTGGAACCTACGCCACCGCCAGCAATAACGCTAGAACATTCGACAAGAGTATAAATGCCGACGCGCTTCGCCGCTTGTCAGTAGTTGATCGACGGCCAACGCTCCGTTCGCCACTATCAGTCCAAGACTGCTACTGTAATCGGACTTTCCGTTTACCGGGCACAGGTTCGCCCAAATAAACAGTTGAATTCCAACACAAAGTCTCCTGTCTTCGGCCACGTCATGACCCCCTGACATCTGAGTGTTTTGGAGCGATAACAAAACTTGAGAAATAAAACGTGGCAATATACTCGCCAGGCCACTGGCGAGCAATTTCCGGAGCCCTCCACTACGGCGTCTTTCATAATCATATGGTGGTTTTGGGACGTTAAACCCCACAAATCAATCAATCATATGCTTGCCATAACCACCAAACACGTCCAAATTATCCGGTTTCCCGAATTAGCTGGGGTCGAATGAACGAGCTTTTATTGTACGAATTCGCTGATGTGGTTAATGTCAAAAACATGAATTTGTTTATTATACGACAAATTGTAGTGCAAAAAGAGGACTTTTCCTGCTTGAAAGCTTCTCCAGTCGTCCCGAATGCCTGAGGCATAGCAAAGGAAGCGTCAACGAAAGGAATTTGATTTTGTTTGCTTGCTGCATGCTTCATTAAGGTTCAGCCGGTTTTATGTTTGAGGCTTTCAATATTCTGTTAGTTTTGGTGTAGCACCAGTTGCCAGTTTTTTTATCTACAACTGGAGTACAACTGGAGTACAGCGGTAGGAAATACGTGTGTACTCCAGCCATTCACGTGGACAGGGTATTGTTTTTACAATGCAATACCAACTACCTCGGCTTTTTGCACTGCTACTTTAGCACTGTTTTCTCAAGCCTGTCTTATTTACTTTGGGACTGCCTGGTTTCTCTTTCTCTCCTCTCTTATTCTGCTCAGTGGTGTTTGGTCGGCACGAGTGGTTTGATTCAAACCTCGCTAATGTACACCAAGCGTTATGTTACATCTAGGCTTGTTTGAACATCACTTCTTTCTATTTCGAAGTGAAGTCGAAGTAAATAGTGATCACTATTGCACAATTTCGAACCTTATTCAAATAGTAGGATGACCTGCATACAGTTAAACCCTTTTATAAGAGACCCGTGCCGTGGAGCATTCCTGGCCTACAAGCAAGATGTCTCTTATGAGCGGGGTGAAATGTTTTCAGTTTCTGATCAGCCCTCATGTGAATCTACCAACAGTGGTGTTTCTTATACCCAACTGTCTATCAGTGTGTCTGATAAAGGTGTTTGGCAGTGGTAGTAGGGTGCAAGGTATAAGTAGTAAAGTATGTTACGTTTTAAAATGTCGTAGTGGGCCCATGTAAAGCATTATACTATCACATTTTTTACGAAAAAAATGAAACAGGCGAGTTACATTCAGGGTAAATGTGACCAAACTTCGGAAGTTTTAAGTCCATATTGAAACAAATTCGGGTACTGTAATAACAGTCTGAATATTCGAAGCACGTACCTATTCACACAGGCCTAGTTGTATATGCTGTTGCATTCACAAGTACGGATCGGGATTCCTCTATGAATGCGTGTTTTGCTCGACAGGCCATTTTGAACGCGACGGTCCGACAGAAGCGCAAGTTCCGCGAGGCTCTCAGCAAACACGACAACCTCGAGCTGGTCGAAGTGTGTCACTGGGCGGGTCTGGGTGGCGTGCGGTTTGTGCCGAACGCTTACATCGGACACGTCGACTCGCTCGATGAGAAGGACCGGATCCAGCTCAACCAGCTCAACTCGGAGCTCGTGCTCAAGTTGAAGAACACGGATTCGGCCTTTTCTCTCGGTGAGTCAGATGCTGTGGGTACGAGTCGTGCAGGTAACTTTCCAACTTGGTAAACTTTTTAGATGCAAGTGGACAAGGGTAGTGAGAGAGGCTGAGATGGCGTTTTCTGTCATCTATGCCTAATACAGTCGAGCCCTCATCAATCGAAGTGTTATTATATGTGTGTTATATAACTTTGCATTGTAGCACGAAAACCGCTTTGAGCACTGGAGTATGTGCATTCCTTTGCACCATTGTTTTGTACAGTTACATATTTTATATTTGAAATATTTGAAACGTATATCAAATTGTCTATGTATAGAAATTTTCAGTGATTTGCTTCAGATTCTAGTATCTGGATTCAACTACATTTGCATAATAACCTTGTCCTTGTGTTAGTCTCGTTTAATTTCTGTGCCCTTGGTTTGCTTAATAAACAAACTAGGTTTATATACACGAACCAAGTCAGACAAAAGCTTTTTCTCTGCTTATTTTGTTACATGGTTAATTGCACATTTACAGTGATTAGGAGAACAATGAGTGCAAGGGTTCGCGATGAATACACGCGTAAATGTACGTCGCGCTGCCCTGCATTGTATGCAGTGGCCACTCCTGCCTGAGGCCTGAAATGCAGCACTGTTATACGTAAGTATAAAGGAGAAAAAATGTTTAATAAGTTATTAAATGAAGTCTAAGTACGAGCTTCGCAGGATTTACTGCTCGTTGCATGGTTGGGTCAAATGTGCGCCTATTCCAAACTGCTACACATTTTGCGTTTCTCCTCAGGTGAAAGTGAAGACGGCCTGTCCTGCGTGCGATTTGGCATGGTCACGGATGACCTCGACATCGAGGAGCTGGTTGGGCTTGTCCTGGGAGCGGGCATAGAGCTGGAGGAATCCACAAAGGTAGCTACCCTGCTTCGTATTGCCGTCTCGCAGGATTTGGCCACTGCAGTCAGAGTTATCAACTTGGCCTTTGCTCGATTGGAAAAAAAAAAATTTTTAAAAGAGTGCTTGCGGCTTTTATGTGCGAGGGTACACCTTAGCATGTCCCCCTTGCAATTTCTGAAAAAGTTGTTAATGATTGATGTCCAGAACTGCCGCGTTTACTCGCATGCTGTGAGCACCTCTCCTATTGTACGTACACGCCTACTTTCAGTGCTTGCTAGCATTGGCTTGCGTTGGCTGAATTGTGATTGTTGCCGGCTAGTGCTTGCTTATGTTTTCTTAAACTGGCCATAAGGGCAACGTAGCTAGCAGTCTGAGATGGTGTTGCGTTAGTATTGGCAACTGTAGCTCAATGTTGCCACATGTTTCCTAAATGACAGCTGAAACCGACTGAACGATGGGAAGTGTTGGTTAATGCTGGATAATGTCGGCTAGCAAAGGTTATCTGCTGTTTTATAACATCACTGACCATAGCCAATATAAATGAAACGGTACTCCCATGTGCATAAGGATCTCGCAGATTGAAACGAAGAATGAAAATGAAGATTGAAACGAACAGTCGCTGATAGATCTCATTTTATGTCTAAGAAAAATGTCGCATTTCAATCTATCAGTGTTGTACATTCATGAAAAGTTGAGTGTGTCGTGCCTGAATTTTTCTATCCTCTCCGCTGATGACAGGCACTTGAGTCAATGTCCGAACTGGTGAAACAAGGAATTCAAGAAGCGAGCAAGGGTCTCCAGCAGGAGAACGAGGAGAAGATACTCCAGGAGGTGAGAGAGTCCCGAACGCACTGCTCAGTAATTACCCTTTCTTTTGAGAGAAGGCGGTATTACTCCCCATCTCCCTAGGTCAGTCATCAAGTCTCAATAACTTTAAACTGCTTATTGCAAGTGTGGCAGGTGTTGCCGCGCACAATGCAATCTTCTGCAGAGAGGCATTGCAGCTGCACTTTTGGAGACTCGCCACTGTGGTACCACGTGACCAGGGAAAGGTAGAAAAAAAATAATGAAAAAGGCCCCTAAATCACTCTAGAGGTTCAAATTCAGTTGTGGCAAGGCATTTATGCGTGGTTCTCCAGGGAACATTAGTGGAGTTGGAAGCGTTCAATAATCAAAGTTTCACGCTTGCTTGTTTCACTGTTGCCTTTGGTACGCTCAGCTTGTCCGCTCGTCTCTACACCTCAACAAATGCTATTCCTCGCATTCAATGCGAAAGAGCTGAGAGCACACGCACCTTTCACTCGTCACAACTAGGCGTGCCAGGGTTCAACCTCAGTAAATTTTTCTTCTCAGCTGTAAAGATGGAATTTTGGTTAAGAAGTCTGTGGAACTTATTGAGACGCAGCCAGTGTCTCAAATCGCAGCGTGTGTGCGCATTTCGCGCGTAGGTTAGCACAGATTGCGCTTCTAAAGAGTGGCTAGTGCCAGGAGTTGTGCCGTGTTGAAACCATATAGCTGAGGGAAAGCTAGTGATTATTTTTTAGCGGTGCACAGCATTGATGTTGTTAATGTGGTCATCAATACGGTAGCAACGCACCGTTATTAGGCATCCCTCTTAAGAAACTTGGCCATACCAATAGACTGATTGGTCACTTGATTTCTCTGATTTATTTGACCACAAGCTGCTAAAGCAATGGTGAATAGCTTTCGAATCTGCCAAGAGATTCTTTTTCGATCCTGTCTGAAAAGGTGTTTCATTTTAAGACATAAACCTTAAGTGGCTGTTTGCACTACTGCCCACAAGATTTGTGCAAGACTTGGCGAGATCCCAAGGTTTCACAAGGTCTCGTGAATGAACAAGGTCCAGCGTGACCTTGTTTGAGCAGTGATGAGACTATGTGATATCAGCACGATGTCACAGATCACCCAAAATGGGGACATGATAATACATGGCATGGTGGCCTAATCAGAACGGGTTGTTTTCTGGTCGAAAGTGGGCGATCATGAAGTCGATGCAGAATCGTGTTAGGTGTGAAATACTTGCGGGAAAGGCTGGGATAGGATAAATACAGTCCATTGAGAAAAAAAGAAGTGACAGCTGTGGCCTTCGTGTCGTATCAGGCAAGTGCATGATGAAATGCATAAATTTTTTTGTATTTTCTCTTTTTCAGGGCCTTCTGAGGCATGTTCCCATCGTGGGCTCCCTTTTCAACTGGTGGTCACCGACCTCCAAGGAGAGTGGTATTCGTGGCCGAAGCTTCAACATTACATCCGGTAAGCTGGTGGAGTTCACTGTAAAGCCAAAACTACCAAGCATTCGATGTTGTTTAGTTAATCACCTATTCTTTGTTCTTTGAGCCAAGTTGAATAGAATGACCGAACGCATCTGTGCCATGATGGATGAATTTATTTTTGTTGATGTAGCCATAGACTTTTCTATGTTCTTGATGTTGAAGCATTACCGTTTTTGAGAGTAGTTTTATACAGTTGACGTCTGATTTCTCGAACCCTTAAGGAACCACGAAAATGTCCGAAAAGTCGAACAGTCCGGAAAAACGAATGCCCACAAAAACGCTCCTTTTTTACAGCTATTTTTCATGGAGGGAGAGTGTCATGGCAGGAGTACAAGATTCTTGTTGTAATCCAGTCAATGCTTCATTTAAGTGACTCCAAAATAGCTATTTATTAAAAAAAAATAAAACGAACAAAAATTTTATGTGGCTGGCACTACCTCAATGGACACCTTGGTCCAAAAGGTTGCTTATTGTCTTTTGCACGGCGTTTCGTTTGCCCACGATGATGTCTGCCTCAATTTCAGCCAAGGTCATGCTGTCTCTGTACCCCAATGACTGTCATCAGTGCTCACATCTACTCCGAGCTCGTTCATGTAGGCGCTGCCTTTTCGATCTTTGTGTCAGAGTTGTTGGAATCCTTCGTAACTTGAATGATTTCATCATCGGTCAATTCTGCACACATATCGCTGTCTTTTTCAGTGTCAGTGAAGCCCTGAAAGGTTAGCCCAGCTGGAATCAAAACACCGACAGCGCGCAGATTGAGAAGAAAACGTCTGTGGATGGAAGTTTGCCACACACTTTCCACTCCGGGCGAGACGGCTGTCTTGGCGAATTCGCTTGACGAAAAGCACAGCGCCACACATATAGAAACTCGGTGGCTGCTGAAGGCTGTGAAACGTCAACGCTGAACATAGCGTGCAGAAGCACACAATCTACCATGAAGCTGACAGAACAACACGTGAATGAACACAGTGAAGATTAACCACAGATTTGGCTATAAGCTACGGCTGGCAACGAATTGGCATGCGCTAAATTGCATCAATTGTAGTTTCAAGGGTGCGGCAGCCACAACGCGCGTGTGCGATGTAACTATGGTGGGTTCAAGGGTACAAGAACAACCAAAATGGCAGTGTTAATGGTGACTGAGGCTAGCGGAGGCTGCGGCTAGCAGTAAAAAGTTGGAAAATCGGATGGCGAAGGCTATAAGCGTCCGAACTTTCAGACTTTAATACATTGATTTTATGGGGAATTGGATAGTGCCGGAGACAAGTCCAGGAAATCAGGCACGTCCGGAATTTTGGGCATTTGGGTAATCAGACACCAACTGTTCAAGGGATAACTCGTCTTATCAGAATTCAAAACAGTCGCGTTTAACTGTATAGTATTAATTGTTAATTTAGCTAGCTTAATCTATGTTTATTATAAATAGACTTGTATTGGGCTATGAAACGTGGCAGCGATGTGACAATAACTGGTGAAATAGCCATTGCCGCATTTCTGTCATGCTACACCAGTCCTATTCATGACTCCGAAATAAAATTTGACCATGACTGGTGTGCTGAGGGCCCTAGGGGAACTGTCATTGCAGTGACTGCAGCGTCTGAAGTCCACACCTTGTTTCCTTGAGTGAGGCTGCCCCTACTTACAATCTTCCTGGTCGGAGCCAGGCATTTTTCGTATTGATTTGAGGTTTTCTTTCTCTCAACTGCCTGTGCGGTTGCCATGTGAAGCATGTGTGCGATTGTAAGGATTGCCAAGGAACGGTATTCGCAGATTGAAAAGTAAAAATTTAGGTCAATGTAATGCACCTACTTTAGTTTCCAGCATCTAAGGTATGTGTCATATTGGCGGCATCTTGACTTGAGCACTTGCGGCGGAACCAAAATTACAACTAGCGGCCTGATTTGTAGCAACATGACATGGTTATCACGAGCAATGGCTCATAGCAGCCGAAAAAATTGTCACCTGTCAATTTGTGCGCACTGTATGTATTTCTTGTTCATTTTGTCCTAGTAGCGAGGGGTACAGTCTCTAAGAGTTCTATTATTGGTGTCCTGCGTCACCATGGTACTTTGCCATCACCGATTGGCTAATGCGTGTAATGTCGTGAGAAACGAAAACTGGATGTCACGGTAGGTCTGCCTAAACTTGAACCGGCAGTCCGCTGTTCCACTTTTACGTTTGAGAGTGAATGTGGTGGCAGCAGCGTGTCCCATCAGTCACCATTGTGCAGTCAAATCTCGTTATAGCGAGCCTCACTATAAGGATTTTTTCAGATTAACGACTTTTTCGAAAGTTCCTCGCGAAATGTTCATTGGCAAATGTTCATTCCCATGTTTGCTTTCACCACTATGAATTTCAGAATACCTTATGTTTCAGAATCACGTATCGAATTTCATCCCCCTTGCATCTTCACATTTTAAAACAAGGAATAGCAATTTTAAGAATGTACTTGCAGCTGTAAAATTAATTCCCAGCTCCGTAGCTGCCACTATCATAGCGTATTTTTCTATCTGCCCGCCCTATTCAAATGTATGATAGCCCCATCACCATGATCATCGCCTGGAATTTCTTTTTCGTGTCAAGCTTCGCCCGCCTTTGTTTTCGTCGGGCAGCTTGACCTGCGTGCTGGTTTCTAGCCTTTTTGTTCGTTGAGCTACGGAAGCAGCATGAAAAGAAGGCTACGACAGTGAGAAATGTGACGCAAGTGGCCTACAGGATGAAGTCGCTGACGATTACTGCTGCATGCTTCACTAACGCCCAAACACTACGCACAGTGCAACGACGAAGAGTGCACGTGGGCTTAGATGATGGCCGATAAGATCTGTACCATTTATAGTAATAAGAAAACGGTAATGGGAGTGAAGACGACGCTGAAAAAGCGCGTGCGAACCTACATGAAGGTTCGGTATTAAACGCTGATGCTTCCCAGTGCGTAAGAAGTATGCGTTCGCTCAAGAGTTCGTCTTTCAACAGGCAAGCTGCCCACGTCAGGATAGATTGCGCTCTTCCCCAAAAAAACACGCACTGGTTCCATAATACTTAGTATTGTTTTTTATTCGTGTTTATTCGAGCACAACGTGGTTGAGAATGTATAAACAGCACAGGTGAACGACTCGCATGTTTGCCTTAACAATTTTTGCACAAATATTTCATACTTTCACTACGACGACTTTTCAATATAGTGAATCATATTTAGCGGTCCCTGGACATTTGTTGTATCGAGATTTCACTTTTAATGATTGCAGTTATAACAAAGTATAGTCACGCCATTCATGCAGTGTTGAGGATTTTTGTTTATAACAATTTTTCTGTATAACGATGCCGTTTTCGTGTAAGTTGAAACTTTGTTTTGATTAGTTTTACTTATGCCTTATCAAAGGCTAAGCACATGGTAATGTGCTTGGTGCATTGATTCAGAAAGGAAGGATTGCGTAAGAAAACAGAGCACTCGAGGGAAGTGTTGTGTTTTTCTCTTGTATGCTGCGTGTTTTTTGCACAACCCTTTCCTATTTACAAAAGGCTGAGAGGTCACCAACCTGTCTGCCTTATTTTTCTGTGCCGTCCTTTGCTATTTTGGTTGGGCTGATATCACTGGTATTCAATGAATTGAAGTGTTTGAGATCATAAGGCCTTTTATAACTTCTCTGCTGGGGGAAGGGTGCATGTGCCACAGTATTGTGAAAAAGCCAGATTGCAAGTCTCGAAGCGGCACCGGACTGTCTTGGCTGCGTACTGACTCTTCTCTTCCCTCCTTCACCAGGGCTCGTCGAGAGTACGGAGAACATCTACAAGTACCACATGCAAATCCAGCAGGGCGACGGCACGCCGGTACTGGCCAACAAGCCTCCTCCACAAGCCCAAGTGGTCGTGCCAGCCGCAAATGCCCTCGAGACCAAAGCACAGCATTAAGAGAGCGCAACTCAGAAGAAGTGTGACAGAGGTTGTAGTGGGGGATTGTGGGACGAGACTCGAAGGGAGTTAAGAGAATGGGGTTAGGTGCCGCAGGTTCGAGCACCATCGCGCACACGCCCACAGAGCAGTACCAGTGCGTAGAGAATGGACGATCGGTGTTGTTTTGGGCCATTGGCTTTCCGAGTGAATGCGGGATGTTTTGCATGCCATTGCATTCGAGGCAGACTGATGAGCAAAACTAAAAAAAAAAAGCTCAAGAAATTATGTGGGCTGCTGGTATTGGGTGCCACCGGCCTACAGTGGCAGGTACCAAATACCACAGGCACCAGATATCAGCACAGAGGAACATGATTGGGGTCCATAAGGCTCCTGGCTGTTTGTCTTTAACCGGTGCTTGAAACCAGCTCAGCGCTTGATGGTTGACGGAGGCACATAAGCACTGATTGGATTCTTTGCTTGTTGTCATGCAATCACAGGAATCTTGCTGTTCTGATTGGGGAGCAAAAGTAGCTGGCCGCATGCGGTGGTGTTTTGTTAAACTTTTTTGTTTGGTCCAATCAAGTAAAATAAAGCTGGTAGCATTTAGTTTTAGTTCGCTGTTAAAGAACTTATACCGGTTGCTGGTGCGTTGTGAGAAATATTGTGCACAATTCCTTGGCAAAGGTTTTTGGTTGCAAGCTGCGCAGCTGCTCGCACTTGTGAACCCACACAGCAGTTACCCGCTGGTCCCAATAGTGCAACTCTGTGAGCTTGAACATGTTGGCAATAGTTACCAGCAGCTTCTAGTACTACGGCAAGCTCTTAAAAGCCTCCATGGCGGTTTATACTACTAAAAGGCCAGCTCAAGTACAGTATTGCTAGCATGTCCAGAGCCTTTGGTACTTGTCTGTCCGTTTTTCATTGTGTGCAGTGCATCTTGTGCAGTGCCACCTTTTAATAACCCTGCTAGTATTTTGCAACACTTTTGTGTTCATGCTAGGGAATGGTTCTGCTGTCTTAACCTTGTGTGAAAATAGCGCAGCTCACAGCTTCAGCTTTGCGTGCATTTTATGGACTCGACAGGTAACAGCTGTGACGTTGGTTTATGAGCAGTCACAAGCTTTCGTTCGGGAGGCATTGCGGCTTAAGCATTTATGAAGTCAACAGCAGACCTCATCGTCGGGCCATCCTAGTATGCCCCCTAATGCTCCTCTGTTAGCAGCTCCACATTGGTTAAAAGTGGTTTGAACTTTGGATGGAGGTTTTGCCACAAAAGGGTTCGCCAATCTCTAAGAATGCAAAATTAATAGGTTAGTTCTTCGCAAGAGGTCCCGAAATAATAGTGTGTATATTACAAGGCCTAACACTACTGCAATCTTAGTTGGGCTAGTTGGTGAGAATTGACCTTTAACATGAGTAAATAGTGCAAAAAGGATAAGGTAAAGGGAACAAGAGCTGGAGTTTGTTTTTGTAACCTTTTACTTGATTCTTTTTTTTAACTAGTTACACCGCTGCTGTAATTACTCGGGCGTCTACTTTTGAAAAGGAGGCTCACAGACTATGCCCTTTAGATGTAATATAAGGAAGTGGAAGCCTTGGCAGTGTCGGAAAGCTAGTGGCTTTAGAACCGGAAAAGCCCGTGCATTGGTACCTCTGCTCTCGAGAGAAAGAACATGTCATCCAAACATATCATTTCCGGAGAAACTAGGGTTCATGCCTGCAACTTTCTTGTTCTTTTTCTTTCCAGCTGGGACCATGTTTATTGTAGCTCCCATTTTTTTGGGGGGGCATTGGGCGCTCCTCTCCAGTCACCGCTCACTTTCTCACCAACTCTGTTTCTTCATCTTGTTCCTTTGTTTGCGATTTTTTTTTTATTATATTGCAGAGTGGCGAGTGTTTTTCTCGTTCAGTCTTCTCTCCTTTTTTGTGGGGAGGGTTTCTGCTTCGCTTTATTCCCTATGCATTTGATGAGTTTTAAGTAAGACCTTGTCTATTTCAGAGCGAAAGCGAGTGAAGTTCCTGATAGTATTCTTTTTGTTTTCTCATCCATCTCGTGCAGGCAGCCTGCATACTTCGCCTTAAAAAAACTGTTGTGATACATCTAGTCAGAAACGCACTTTTTTGCAAATAAAACTGACAGCTTTTTCGAGCTTGTGTGTCGTGTATGATTGATGATATATTCATTAAAAATTGTGCAATGTTTTTTGCACTTCTCCGAGACAACTTCAAGGTGAAAGCCACCTTGCTGCGCTTAAAGGGGAACTCCGTGATTTCCGACTATACTGAGATAATGCCGTTTGCAAATAGTATTCACAGTCCTGGAACAGCTAGGGTGGTTCAATTTGCCCGTCGAGAATCTGAGCGATGAACGATAAGTCACAACTGATAGGGAAACGGGGAGCTGCTCTGTCCTCCATGGTGGGTATCGAATGATGTCACGATATCCGCTACAGACCGCCACGCCTTGCCAGGATGTAAACATGGCTCGCGTGCCTCTTCTGAAGCGTGAAAAAGAAGCTGGCGATGTCATCCGACGTGGAATGAAGCTGTGCCAGCTCTTCTGAACTTTGATTTCAAACCGCTGGCGCGTCAAGCATCTGACGTGCCTCAAATCAATCTTCTCGTTGCGCAATATTGTGCATGCACCCTACGTCAACAACAACTATAGCACTGTATGCAGCTACTGTGCTCGCGTCGTAATCACCTTCGAGAAGAAAGTGCGCGATGCATTCGTCTGCTGAAAATGTAGGCAGTTGGTGACACACAGGGTGGCGCGCATTTACAGATGCGATTCCGGAATAATTTGAATCAAATAAATTGAATCAAATGTCTGGGTATAAATCAGTACAAGTTTGATTTCGGTTATGCTGATTTTCATGAGAGAAAAATGCTTTTTATGTGTCGCACCGAAAGTGGCACGTCGAACAACTTGTTGAACACGGTGTTGCCTTCAGTAAATTAGTCATAGGCGAGGGTACACTACAAAATAAAAGGCATCTTTAGTTCACAGAAGGCTCATTTCACCCAAAGCTCGCTGTATCCACCTCTTTCTGAGCCACTAGTCAGCACAACTAGCAAAAACGTTTTGCACATTATTGTGAACAAAACATATCAGTGGGTACGCTAAAGTAAAACATCGAATTGGCTTAGAAATACATTATTTCGCGAAAATGCAAACTGTTCAAAGAGAAAAGGTTCGAGAGCTTCATGTTTTGAATTTCGCGCTATATCAACTCATGGAAGTTAAATCCCTAGGTTTAGGGGCTTTAGCGGACATCAGCGTGACGTCGCGAGTTTGCCCTTTTTTTCTCATTTTGGCCAAATTGCTTCAATGATATTTTTGCAAAGCTTGCTATATTAAATGAGCACCGACACGTTAATGAATCATTGCAAAAGGGAGATTTTTCGTTTCCTTGGCATGTGATAACGCTCTCCAGTCTCCACACACCATAGTCAGGCACATTTTACTTTGATTTTCAAGTTTACGTCGCAGTGTATCTGCATGCTAGCCCCACCGCGGTGAACATTATCTTGACGCGTCAGCACGTGGTTCTATCGGGTGTGCGAAATCTGCGTCCGGCATGCATGCAGCCTACATCTAAAAAGTCACTGTCGGAATCGCTGGACGACCATTCACTCATCATTTTGTAGCGAGAGCAACATTGGCCGTAATCTCACGGTTTCGCTGTAGCCGGTGGCCCCACCGCGTGATGAGCCGTTGCTACACTGTACCGTTGCCTAGCGACCACCGCAACTGGCATCGCCGCTGGCCGCGCCATCTGTCATGATGGCATGACGAATGAGAAGGAACTGGCTGGTGAGATTCGTCGGCAGATATGGGAAGTATGTTGGGCCGGCTGAAAGAAGCGAGGCATCGTCGTAACAAAGTTGAGGAGGCAGCAAGCTGAGGAGACGGAGGAAGAACGAGCCGCGCGCACCGAGAAGCGTAACCGTACAGATGGCCAAGATAAACTATAACGTTAGCCGTTCCATTCGCTGCACACACCCAGGCATAACTGAGTTAAGCCAAAGCTAATTTTTTTCGTACATGCTCCACGGGCAGATGTATGTTGATTTGCCGCTGTTACGTCGAGAGTTGTACCCGTCACGTCATCCTGCAATGTCCGTGAACCCTTTGAGACGCTTTGAACACAATTGCGTTCACCACATGTCTTACCTTCAAGTCGCTCAATATTCTAGGTACACCTTTCGTTAGACGCCATAGCGTGGCAGGAGACGCAGAGGGTTCACTTCACGTCCCGCAGTTTAAAAAGAAGCAGAAGTGTCAGATTATGCATTGTCGACGCTTGCAGCTCGTTGCTCTACACAAAGGCGTAATAACTGTCACAGTTGCTAGTTCACGCTTGTCCAGTGTTTACCTGACATTCTTTTCAAGCGTCCTTCGTCATGTTTTAGCGGTGCGCTGCGAGTATATCGAGCCGTCTGATGTCGCTGTTCGTGTGTCATTTCAATTTCTTGCTATCGCATTTATTGCTTCGACCTTGCGGCAAAACTGTGACTTTTGACTCAAATGTCCAAGTCCACAAGATGTCGTCAAGACATTTTGCTGTGGAGAAACACATCCTACGAACTTATTTTAGAACACATGTTCAATGATCTACAGTACGATATGTACTCTACTGTGGAAGGGCTTTGCTAGATGTGGTTTTATGTGCCGATTAGCATATACTATTTAGAAAAAGTTTATTTATACCATCTATACAAAAAACAAAAGTGGGATAACATTTCAGTAATCAGGGCCACATACACGTAAGCACATCTATGTACCAAGACAAACATCACTACGTAGTAGTGAACACATCATTATATATACTCTAATATATGTATGACATACGTAGCATACATGTACAAAAAAGTCACAGCTTTGCCACAAAGGTGAGGCAATAAACGTGATAGCAACAAGTTGGAAGGTCACGCGGAGAATTGCCAGCATATCGAAACGTGCCCCGCGTTTCCCATGCACACAGGACACACGAAACGTACTCACAGGTACAGAATAACGTGAATAATCGTCTCAGCTGTTCGCTGTGTCTGGAAAGGTTGCCCTCTTCGCAAACGAAGGCTGCGCAATGATTGCCGTGACTTTTGTGCGCCCGGTAACTACAACAGAACCGTTCCGACGAAACTCAAAGACTAGCCAAGACGTACGATTCTCCCCACTGCAAGATAAGGATGCGGGATCGAGCGTACATTTCCGTATTCTCTACGTGGGCCAAAGTACGCGTGAGAGATGAGAGCCGCCGTGCGCTCACTGCGCCATCTTGCTGATAATGCTGAAAACACGATAGTACCCCCCCCCCCCCCCCCCGAAATGTCCGCCAACAGCGGTAAGTGGTAGATATGAATAGCTTGCTGTTTGAACGTTGAAGGAGGTATATTTCGGTGGCTCAGTAATAAGGAGGAGGAGGAATGAACTTCATTATAAGAAACCAGCAGGTTTAGGTGGCCTGGCCTAAGCCCCCATGAGGGGACGTCAAGGGCTTGCCTCGACGCTGCCGCACTGGGTCGCCCAGGTTTGGTCGTAAAGAGCGGGGCTCCGCAGAGCCTCATGGAGCTTCAACGAAAGGAATAAAGAAAAAAAAAATATTTCGGTGGATCAGTGGTTAAAGCCTCGCGTTCGCGACGCGGAGATCCCAGGTTCGATTTTGCGTGTCAAGGTCTTTTTTAGGGATTTTTTTTCTTTTTTTGCGTTCTCAAATATATAGATACGTATACATATACGGTGCACGACAACGATGCCCACGCTTTACGGCAAAATCCAGCCTAGAGTGTCCATATAATTGCTATCGCAATAAAATAACTCAATGTTAAATAATTATTGAAGGTTATAAAGTTCCAAAACCACCATATGATTATAAGAGACGCTGTAGTAGAGCGCTCCGGGAATTTCGACCGCCTGAGGTTCTTCAACGTGTACCTACATCTAAGCAAACCGGGCCTAGCAGTTTCGCCTCTATCGAAAATGCGCCCACCACGGCCAGGATTTGGTACCGCGACCTGCGGGTCAGTGGGCAAAGTGTCTTAGCCGCTATACAGACCCCCTTGGTGGGTAAACAGAACTCAGTGTATAAAACAACACAATCGATATCACGATGCAGTGACTACAATGGTACAATGATACAATAACGGCACTCAAACACAAAAGCAAGCATAAACAAATACTCGACGGGCACTGTTTAGTAGCACGTCGGACCAAAAAAAAAAAAATCACAGCATATCCACGGAGTGAATGATGATTGGTGGCGGGGCGCAGCGTTCGTCAGTCTGTCTGTCCATTCGTTCTTGCGTCCGCCTATTTGTGTGATCCTTGGTGCATCCGTCCGTTTGTTCATTCGTCTGTCTGTCCGTCCATCTCTTTTTGCGGCCATCCCTCTGTCTGTCCATCCGTCCGTGCGCCCCTCTGCCTGTCCGTCCGTGCGTGTGTCAGTCCGTTAGTCCGTCCATATGTCTAGAGAAAACTCCAAGCACAGCCATCTCACATCTTTTCATCATGTATTCATCATATACAAGTGCCCCCATCCATCAGACATTGTAAAAACCGCTATTTCGGACATGTGCCACTGGTGGTTATGTACTACGAGGGACGCACAAGCTACGCCATAAGGAGCTTCGCCCCTAAAATGAGTTGAACTCTTTGGTGTTCGACATTGACAAAGGGGAATGACCAAAGCCGCGGGAACTCGCACTCCCCTAGGAAGAAGACCTCTTCAGAGAGGAACATGAGGATCTCTCGTCTCATTCGCCACAGTATCGGCCACAAAGCACGCCGGCGGCAATTTACGGCCACGGCCTCGCATCGGTTTCGCCAAAGGCTTAACAGCTCCGCAACTTTTAAAAGAGCCGAGAAGCGCTCGCGCGGAAATCGGCAGTCGGACACGAATGTTCGCGCACACTGCCCACGGCAACCTGCATGGACAGCGCGCCAGAAAACGTGTGCCACCGCACATTCAAGGGTCGCATGACGGTTAGTTTCAACCGCAGTGCAGTTGGAGCACGTGGAGACGCACTATTGCCGATTTGTGCAACCGATCTTGAGTATATAGGAAGCAAGCCCCTGCCCAACCACCAAACAAACTGGCGGAAATGGCCTGGCAAACAGCTACAGTAATTCGTTTCCATGGGCGGCTCC